AGTCTACTAGGAACAAGTAGAAGGCAGAGACCTCTACCTCTAAGTTCTATTAGAATAAGCAGCTACTTCTACCTACTTATTCTAACAAGTAGGCTATAGTTATTTACAGTATTAACGCAACTAGATAGATAATTCCGCTCTTTATTATCTTTAAGACGCGCTACTACCTTTCTAGCTAGTATAAGAACGGCGATATACTCTAAGACTAGATTATTAGAGTCTCTAAGAATAGCTAAATAACTAATAAGCTTAGTCTTATATATATAAAGTACTTTAATAAGTATATAAAGATAAAGAATATTAGTATCTACTATTTACTTATTATTAATAGCTATAAAAGCTATAATTTACTAGATCTTTAAAAATACTATAAAAATAATACTATTATTACTATTTATATATCTTTATACTTATCTTACCTCTTATAGTCTCTTAATATAGACTATTTTATCTATTTAAAGTAGGCTTATAGGCGCTAAGTTAAATTACTTATACGTATCTAGATTAGTTATATAATAAAATAAAAGTTTCTTTCTTACTTTAAGTAAACTTTTAAAATATAATTTATAGCTAATAATATCTAAGAAGGCTTTTAATACGCTAGATTAGTTCTATTTAGCCTAGAATAGATTATATATACTCTTAATATTTAGTTATATACTCTATTATCTCTATCTATTTATAAGTAGCTATAGATATTATAAATCTCTATTAATACTCTAGAATTAAAGTTATAATTAATACTAGTAAAGTAGAGAATTTAAAGATATATAAATAGTTTACTAATATCTATAGTAAAGATTTTTAAAAAGATCTTAAAGATAGTGGCTATTATCGCGTATAAGTTAGTATTAGCGTAAAAGTAGATTACTAACCTCAAAGTAGCTAATATAGCTACTATGTAATAAAAATTATATAAAAGAAAATAAGTTTAGATAAAAAGAACTTTAATAATTAAAAATAAAAAGTACTTAGCTACTCTCTAGAACTTTAGTATACGTAGTAATAGAAAGAAGTTAAAGAAGTAAAAATATACTAAAGAAGATAAACTATCTTAAAGATAATATAGATAGTATAATAGAACTAGATATAATACGTAAACGTATAAGTAGATAGTAGAAGTAGACTTATAATAATATCTCATATTTCTTTACGCTATATAGGTCTAAAGTAGACTATTTTAGGCTATAATATAGTGGTTTTGGTGAGGGCTTAGTAAAAGTGTCCGGCGAAGCTAGGTGTTTAACGAACCTATAAGGTACGTTATAGCGAATTTATAAGCATTAGAGAGCTTCGCTAAACTACGTTCGTTATATTATTATTTTATTATAACTATAGTTCGCTATTCTACTACCTTTATCGTAACTTTATTATAGTTAATATATCTAATAGAGTTATGCCTTATAGTTATATATATATTAAGAGGTTTATAAATTATTACTAAACTATTTCTAAGAGTTTAAAATAGAGTCTTATAGACGTAATTCTCTTAGACCTTTACTTAGTTTTTTACTTTAACTATATAGTTATTTTTTTTAATACCAGATTTCGGCAGGTTAGGGTATAGCCTGCCATTCTTTTCTAAGATAAATGATCTGATACGCTACATAGCAAACAGAGAAAAAAAGTTAAGTTATGGAATAGAATAAGTTTTTAAAATACTTGACTATATGAAGAATACTATTTCCAGAACTTTTGAAGAAACTCTATCAAGTCATCCACAAACTCATGATGCAGCTCGTAAGCGGCAAAATGTCCTCCCCTTGCGTGTTCCTTCCAGTAGACGAGGTTATGGTCTTTTTCGAGCCATGATCGAGGTGGTAACAAAAGTTCCTTGGCAAACGCGCTGAAACCGAACGGAATTGTAACCACCGAGTTCCCGAGGCGAGCTGGAGGTTCAAGGACAAGTTTAATATTCTCGCGATACATGTTAAATCCGGTTGTGGGACCTGGGAAGTAGTGTAATGAAGTCCAAGTGATGAGTTCTGTAAAGGTCCAAGGATAATTGTCGGTCCAAGAAATAAGCTTATCAGCCATCCACGCTAGAAAGCCGACTGGCGAGTCATGCATAGCAAAACCAAATGTGCGAGGTTTCGTAATCTGGACTTGCTGGTATGCTGTCTCGTTTGTTCGAAACCACTCACCTCGCTTCAGTCCAGCCTGTTCGAATTCGCTATAAGTGAGCTCGTCGGCGTTCTCTGGAGGCCTAGGGAAGGCCTTCACCACGTAACGGTCAGTTCGTTCTCCACTTTCAAACTTGAGAGAGAATGAAGCGGCCAGACTTACGACATTGGTATGCAACACCTGAGCATTTTCGGGAAACTGCACTGCTATTGCTCGCGCAACAATTGCGCCCCAGTCTCCACCTTGAACTGCATACTTCTCATAACCGAGCCGTTGCATGAGGTTGTGGAATATCTCTGCCTGGTGGCCGTAGTCGAAGCCAGCTTTTTTTGTATATCCTGAGAAGACAAATCCGATAAGCGATGGTGCAACAACGTGATACCCCGCTGCCAATAGATCTGGGAGAATCTTTTGGACTTCTATAATAGAGCCAGGCCACCCATGAAGGAATATCAGGGGTCTAGCATGCTCGACCTTTGACCTGGCGTGAACAAAGTGAACCGGGAAGGAACCAAAGTCCCCCAGTTCCATGACAGTTGTGAACTGTGGCATCTCGTTGATCTTGGCTTCTTCTTTTCGCCAGTCGTATTCTTTGATCCAAAATTGGACGATCCCTCGCATAAATTGAGGTGTAATCCCATTGTCTTCAGCCCACTCAGCCTCGTCAAGGCCTTTAGGAAAACGTGCGAGTTCGAGCTTCTTTCGTACGAGGTCAATTTCAGTATCGGGGATATTAATCTATGTTACCTGATATTAGCTAAAATATATTGCGCACGTGGCAGAGCTGTTTTGATCTTACTTTGAAGGATTTGACCTCAGTTTGAGCCATGTTGTTGATCTTCTAGTGATTGCTCTTAGTGAACGCTAATTTGAACAGCAAGTTGTATAGTTTCGTGAGTATCAACTTTCAATAGAAGAGAGTGGAGAAAACGAGTGATAATAGGAAAACTCGTAGGCATATCGTGCTTTATTTATACCCACAGCAGGTGGAGTTTCAGATGGTGTTAGCCAAGCCTGAGCTAGCTATGATCGGCTGCTGATCCAAGAAAGGAAGTGGCTCTAGCTAGTCAGCGCTGCACTTTCCTGAATAGGATCTCAGATTGAACTCACAACCAAGAAGGGAAAAGAGTTAATGTTGTCAGCGCTGACTTTCCAAAAAGGATTAGAACTTTGTGTCCGGCGTTTAGAATAGGGATTTGTATTTCTCATTATTCTAACTCACCGGATCATCCGGAACTGATTGAATCTCAGATAAAAAGAACATATATATACAGGTGCTACGGAGAAAGGTTCGAGTCTAATATTCACAATACCTCTACCGTTGTAAAAGTTTCACCTTTCGTTCCACATTCAACTTCAACTGAAATAGCAAGTAAATTTGCCATCACAACTCCTGTGATTGTTCTTACTTAGAAAATACATGCTCTAACCCTACGACCTGTTAGACAATGAGTGGAAGAGTTATTGCCATAACCGGTGCTGCCTCTGGCATCGGACTAGCTACAGCCAGACTATCAAGTTCGAGAGGAATTATAGTATCGCTTGCAGACTATCAGGAAAAGGCTCTGACGAAAATTGTCGAAAAGATAAACGGCGACGGTGCATGCGCCATTGGAACTGTCGTCGACGTGCGCGATAAAAATCATGTAAGCAATTGGATTCGCAAGACAGTAGAGAGATACGGGAGACTAGATGGTGCTGCGAACATTGCAGGTATTTCGGGAAGGAGAATGGCACCTATCCAGGATCTTACAGACGAGGAATGGGATCGGGTTATCAACATCAACCAAAGAGGCATCTTCAACTGCTTGAGAGCACAAGTTCCGTACCTTAATAATGGGGCCTCGGTTGTGAATAGTACTAGTACGGCGGGTCTTATATGATTCCCTGGAGGCGCCCCTTATGTTGCTTCCAAGCATGCCGTTGTTGGTTTGACCAAGACAGCTGCCAAAGAATTGGCGTCTTAAGGAATTCGTTGCAACGTCATCTGTCCGTGAGTACACGATGTCACAAAGAGCTACTTAATGGATGTGCTAACTGCTATCAAGCGGTCGGATGGGAACCCAAATTACTAAGGCGCCAATTGATTCAGCACAAGAAACTAATCTGAGCCATATACCGATGGCCACATTAGGACATCCCGATAAGGTTGCTCACTTGAATGAATGGCTGATTTCTCCCCGGTCAAGCTATGTTACTGGCTCAGTGAGTTCAATTGATGGTGGCTGGACCTGTTGACGTATTTTATTGGAAACTAGATATGATTACGTCAGTCGCACATGGGTACTGTGACTATCGAGAGCGGAGGACTATAGCGTAATCAATCGAGATAAAGTAACTTATTTGGGTTCTCTTAAATTTTCAATCTCTGAACTCATGTTTCGTAGAATGCACCTTTATCTCTCCAGTCACCGAGGGGACTGAACAAGGGGTGGGATGAGGCTGATGAAAACGTGACGGTCTACGTTCTAAAACTAGTAGCGCTAGCCTCACCTAGTCAACAGTCTGAGAACAAGCAAACTCATCGAATAACATGAGTCGTTCCTGACTATACTTTCACAGGATCCGGACAAAGGTGAGCGAGTTACCTTGAACAAGAGCATGATCATGAATGACCATTATCGGTTACTGATCAAGCAAGTCTATCTTCGAATCTAGATCTTGAAATATGAAGTGCATTTAGCACAAACTCATAACACAGTTGCATTCCAGCTACGAAAGTTCATACATGCCTCGAATCGGTGTGCTAAGCGTGCCATTTTTGGGCCAAATTGCTTCATTTTGAGTCTAAATCTGATAAGACATCTAGATAATACATACTCCTCTCAGAGTCAAACCCATCCAAAAGATCCCCATAAGTACTAATAAAGTGAGATGTTAGTCCCCATCCTTCCAGCTTGGTAAACGTGTCCAAAAATTCAGTTCGCACTTGGAAAATGCCGTCTTGCCCGGATGGTTCTATAATCTCTTTTCCCCAAGGCCACCTTATCTTGGCACAGCATGAAAAGGTATCAAATATCTCTTCAAGTCCAACAAAGGTCCTATCCTCCCTATCCCCAATTTTATGCAAAAGATTACACCGTATGACTGGCCAGAGAATCATATCGAATATAGGCGGGTGGTTGATAGTGATTTGCTCAGGGATGGGTTTTAGGAACTCTGGTACTAGATCATAGCTCTCTTTAGTTGGATTGATTCTCCATTTACTGTATAGGTACAGCAACCACCCGTAAGCTAAACGTTCTGGCTCTGCCACTCGTCCTCTTCTGACAGCTCGATGAATCTTGTTGGCGAGGTAGTTAGTTTTCGAGCCAAACAGGATATCGATAGGATTGGGAATACTAGGCGACTTCAAAATATTATCTGGATCAGAAAACCAGTCTACCCATGGGTGATCTAGAGAACTGTTGGGTATGAGTGCCCAAGGTGCGCTGTTGAATTTGAGGGAGTAAGGGAAGCCGATAGGACAACCGTGTGGACATATAGGGAGATAACTATGGAACAGGGTGTCTTCGATATGTTCATTTGTTTCGTGGTGTCCCACGTCAAATATTTTCATCTGGTGGGATGCGTCGTGATTCCGTTCCTTAGGTTCCTCGGTGGATCTGTTGACGGATAAGATTTGCGGTTGTTGGGTAATACAAGGAGTATCTGCACTTCCTTCATCATCAGGTATGGAAGAGAGACCTGGACTGCTAGGGCTACAGTCGAGGTCGTAATCAGCCAAACGCGTAACAGTGTTCCCGATGCCTATCCTTTGGCATCCCGAATCCACAGTTTGACTGGCCTGTTCTTCGACGAGTGGTGGTTGCTCAGAGGGTGTATAGAGAGAGTCTACTGGTTGTGGGTGGTGAGTAAGCGATTGTCGCTGGTCTGCTGTGCGGAGACTATCGTCGAGATTGGCCTCTTGAGAGGCATCTGAGCAGTTCGTTCCAATCTCGCCATATGGAAGGACCATCATTTGTGATAGTATCTGTTGCGCGGAATTGGCTAATCCAGTCATCTTTTCAACTCTGACCTGAAGTGCGTTATTTGCGTCTTCCAAATATCGTATACGCTCGCGAAGAGTATCAAGAGTTTCGCAGCCCTTAAATGTGTGATTTGGATGCTGTCCTTGATAGAAGGCGATCTGTCTCTCAAGCTCAGCAATCTTATTGTTCTGCCTTTCGCGTCGATTTTGCTGCGCCCGTCTGTCCCTATTCCTCTTCTTTTCGGCAGCCATCGAAGCATCTCTTTTTTCAGCTCGGAAGGAGATGAACATGTTGAGATTCTATTAATGCGTAAGAGCTAGAATTAATCAGGTAGGTCAGCAGTAAGTTGAGTCTCAATTATAGGTTTCTAGGTTGGAACATGCAAACAAGACGTTTTGAGTTTTCAATGATGTGTCCTATGCCTTTCGCTCTAGTCCATGTTTAGTAATTTTCCGCACTAGCTCATCTCCAGACCTGCCGTTACCCCGCCCCCCCCCTTTCTTCCGCTCCACTCGAACCACCCCTTAAAGCCCCTGACCAGGGCGGTTCCTAGACCACTGCTTATTGGCTACTATCTAACACGCCTCTTGGACGTCTTACATAGATATTAAATACGCGACGCGACGCGATATAATATACTTCTACTAGAATCTATCTCTCTCTCTACCTCTATCTATATTTCTATCTATATCCATCGCTCGCTATGCTTACTTATCTACTTACCTACCGCGTGCTTATTTGCCGCGAGCATGGCTGTGCTATTCGTGGCGTGGACGAGCATCTTAAGCGCCTCCACCAGCTACCTATAGCAGAAAGAAGAACACTACTTAGCACCTACAGCAGCTTCTCTCTTATATCGCCAGACTAATTGCCTCTATCTGCCCACCCGGTGGACAAAAACATGGGTACTCTAAAATAGCTTAGCTCACCACAACATCGTATGCAACCTACTAAAATCATATAAATTTAGTTGTTTATTAATTTTAGTGGGGTGGACCGTGTGGAGTATCTATGTTTTTTTCTAATGGTGATACTATATATACTAGCATGAGTAGACTGGTCAATGGGTACCCCCCTACCTCTGGGTAGGGGTTGGGTAGGGTCACATCGTCTGATCTGACCTCTCGTGGGGCTAAAACAGTCGGAAATAAGCTAATGGTGGGCGGCCCAACTCAGACATTTTGGAGTCACAAAACTCTACCAAAACACTGTAATTTCGGCTAACATAAATTAAAAGTTATTCTTTATATATCGATACTTTGTCATTTTGCCGTGCGTAATTTCTATACAATCGTGGAGCCGTTTAGTGTAGCTATCTACCGTTTTGTTGATGCGGTTTTGGTCCAACTCTGCCAACACTGTAAGGCAGTCGAACAACGACGTCGATAGAACTTCTCGCGCAGTACCTTAGTTCAAGTTTCTAATATAGACAAGTCTGGAGAAGCTGGAGGAACATCTATATGGTCCATCCCATAGGTTTCCATCCACCAAAGAGAGCGAGTTAAGACATGCGCAGAGTCAAGATCTTAGTGTAGAGTGAAGTCTACACCACGCAGTCGCTGCTGCAACTCCTCCAAAACTTAGATACAAACCTAAGTCGTTAATTTACCATTACTATTATTACAGTTATATAGTATTACCTAGCAGAAGTTATATCTAATAACGATAAAGATATGAAACCTCTGCTCGTTTTAAGATACATCTTTACCTTAAACTTCTTAGCCTTTCTCTGCCTTATTCTTTAGTCTCAGACCCTCATTATACTAAATATTTAAAAGCTTATACCGCTCACTTCGACGCCGTTTTATGTTCTTAGGATATCGTAGCCTAGTACTCTAGTATATCTCATCGCTAAAGTATACTATCCTCTAGTTAATGCCGTGCGGACGAGAAGACAACTGCTTTAAACACTAAGAGACGCGCTGCTTCTAAACTCTTAGCTCTAGTTCCTCCTTGATAGCTGCCTTTGCAGTTACTATATTACTAAATTTAGTATACCGACGTTGTATAATCTACTGAAAGTATATCTTACAGTTATTGGCATTATAGGATCGCCTATTGTTGCACGTAACACTAGCTCTAAGTTGGAGACCTTCCTATGTAAGGGCTTTTTCTTCGAATGCATAGCGATCAATATACGTATATATAGCGTTGACTTCTACTCTAGTGAGCTGTCGAGGGCGTCCGCGAGTCTCTTCTTCGTCTTTACCGTGTCCCCAGCGACGGACGCGTCTATTCTTGATGATGTCTGACGCTATTGAGACTGGAACCATAAATACATCATTTAGGTCTTTAAGAGACGCGTGAAACTGCTTTTTCTTGAAGAAATCGAGCACGGCGAAGAGGGCAGAGCGTCGGGGAGTATAGAGCTGCTTCAGTGTATGATTATTCACAACGGGCGGAGGCGTGGACGAATCAAAACGTCGGCGGAGGCGTCGGTAACCTTCTGCAGGCATAATTTCAAACAAACTATTCATAGAGCTACGTTTTTTTACAATACAAATTATATAGGTTTTAGGAAAAACGCGTGGGTTTGTTGTGTTGGGCTGGGGTGCCCAGAAGCGCTTAATCCCGACTAGTATTTTAGCCTCGCGAGAGCCTACCCAACCCCTACCCAAGGCCCGTGCGATCATTACCCAACCCCTACTCTACCTAGAGGTAGAGAGGTACCCATTGACCAGTCTAGTTATAACTTAGAGGGTTTATCACATTTATTAATCATAGTAGGGGTAACTAGCTAGTTGGTAGGGTCTTACGTAATCACTACCCTACCCTACCTATCTCCTGGCGACCCTACCATATATCGACCACTACCCATTTACCACCGTACCTAACCCGGATCGAGCTTAGAGAAGTATCAGCGCCTAACCCCGTGTAACACTAAGTAGTAGATAAGATAACAAAGTAAGGTGTGTTAGAACTGTAGAGATGAGTAGTTTTGAAAATAATCAAAATTAGTGAGGTACTAGCCGACTCGTCTACCTAGTCAACTTGCTTATCTAGCATGTTATGTGCTGTTGGTTAGGATAGAAAATGGGTCCAGCCGCACTGTTCATTAGCGGTCGCATTAGACTTTGCTTCAGTAAGAAGCAAATTAAGCTAAGATCCTCATCGTGTAGATGCCCATGATCGAGTATTACTGGGAGATCGTAGATACCAATAATAATTGCTTAGCTTAGAGTAGGTAAGGCCAACGAAGTCGGCCCCATTGATCTTCTAAGCACGAGATGGGACTTTAGGCAGTTATTCTCTCCCCGCATCAGGAAGCGGGGCTTGGAGGCCTCATCTTGTTGGCTATTAGGCCTCCAATCCTACCGCACATCGTGTTTGTTCAGCCCGTCATTGGCCACCTCGTATATCGCGCACTAACTCGCGCACTACGCCAATTGCCCGCGCATTAACTTGACGTCCGCGAACCCCTGCTGACTCTGCTTTCTCAATGTCTACCGCGGGCTGCGTCGTGCCTGTTCCTGCCATCCAGGAATATTCTTAAGGGTGTAGGTTCATCTTGCACGGTAGTTCAAGTTCAGTTGGTTCTACTACCATGCAGAATATACTGTTTCCTTAAGCACCCGAATATAACAATGCCTGCCTTGATTTTCATACCTCGATAAGATTATAAATTCAGCAAAGTAATCAGAGTTGATGAACTAATCTCCAAACCACATAGGCGTAACTCTAGGTAAGCTTCTTGACCCCTGAACTCCTAGATTCCCTTTCCTACACGCTCGAATCCTGAAGTTAAATTTAGTTCGGCACGAGTTGGTTAACGACATTGCTTATCGGCTATAGGAAAAAAACGCCTTGGAGGAACATCCTGCAGTTGGCGTGATCCACAAGCTTAGATTAGAAACAGCTGCAACCGGATAATATACACGTCTAGATGACAGGTATATAAAACAGCCAGACAGACTCAGTTCGCAACGCCACTCAACAACCACCACGAGCATTACCACCACCACTATGCACTCCACCACTCTCATCGCGGTCTTCACCGGCCTCCTCTCCTACACAAGTGCAACCTTCTTTGTACGCCCCCTCCCAGCCCGTCTCTTCCTTCCTCTCTTCCTCTCTCTCCTCCACTAACCCTCTGCACCAGCACGTTAACCGCGGCTGCATCTACCTCAACGACATCTATATCTGCGCCCCAAGCTCACGTGTAATTGGCAATGGCGTGTCTAAAGTTGAAGCCCGTCTCGACAAGCCAGATCACTGCGTAAAGACATTTAGGTGGCCCTCTTACTATCAGGATGTGTACTATGGCGCAGACAACTGCTTGTACGACGCTAGTAGTATGCTACTTTATTAAGAGTGGTGGAGGGTATCAACTAACTGGGACTCAGGCAACAGGATCGATAATCAGTGCTGCTAATAAATGGATACCGCTTACTAGTAGACGTGGGATTAAATAGAGGGCTGTGTAGAGGAGGGTTGAACGTATCAGAGAGTAGGGACAGGTATGAGAGGCACTTGTTACTAAGGCGGTCAGTCATGTAGGAAGATCGACTGAACCCGTTCTTTCGTTAATTTAGAAATATAAAGTACAAAGAATTTAAGTATTTAATACTTAAACCTGCTTTTCTCTGATATCTGCATTTCCTTAGTGATTGAAGGCGGTCGCAACAGCGGATGCGACCAAGTCTTGATGCTTCCATAGCGGATTCGGATATTCTAAATCCATTGTGCATAGGCGCACGATACCTTCTAGTGATCGAACCGTTAGCGTGAAACTTGTGGCGATGTGGTGGGGGGAAGACGACGGTAGTCAAGTCGAGGCTATTGCTGATTGGTCGATAAACTAAGTAAGGGTTTATATGATTATAGCATATATCTTAGATTAAGTAAAAACTGAAATGCTATCTCGACATTAGATGCCTGTATTTAGATGACGTACAGCCTTGACTTCAAGCGACCTACATCTTGAGGCAAACCTTTTGCTAATACTTGGGTGGCCAGATCCATGTTAACTGACAGGGAGTATAGGTCTCTACAAGATCACAAAGTTGACAGGTAGAAAGCATCACGTTCGGGCTATCAAACTACCTCTATTTTAAGTAGGTTCCGTTTGTGTCGCTCAATCCATCAAAAACACAACTCGATAGAGTAACCCTTAGACCAACCCAATCCTTCCTTCGTATATGAGTGCAAGCAATGGTGGACCATTGTACACAAGCTGACGCAATCTCTTACTATGCTCCTCCTAGCTCTTTCTCACTCATTCGGGATACTACAAAATAGTAATGCAGTCGCAAGCTCCTGCGTAAAATATATTTTCTAGTTGAAATCGATGAATGACCGTACCTAAACGGGTACTTTAAGTAGCTCTGAACTGCTTTCGTTTAGTCGCTAATGGACTGTCTATGGACATGCTCGACGTCGGTATAGGACTCACTTTGTCCTTATTCAATCGCAAATTCTGAGATTTTTCAAACAGCGGCCTGCATTGACTTTGCGGCAACACGAGCGATATTTATGATGGGGGTTTTAGCGCACCAAAACACTCTTTGAATTCTTCCTATAAATGATGAATAAGTTTAAGTAATCAGTCCTCTCTGGCACATCAAGCACGGCGAATACGCTGTGCCAACCTTGTTGACACACGGAGATATGAACGACTGGCTGCCACTGAGCATGTCACAGGCTACGGCGGACGGTCCCCGAGATAAGGGCGTGCCTCTGCAGTTGTCTATCGCAGAAGGAGGCACTCACGCATACGACCTTTTCCCGGTAGGTGATACCGAACGCATAGGTTGGGAGTCGATCAAAGAGGGCTATGATTTTGTTTGTCCGTCGGTAGGATTGTAGCGGAATCAATAGTTAGAAAGGAGGTTTGTTATAAGGCTTTGTACCTAGTGATTATGCCGATGTACAGAGATGTTAACAATCAAAGCTAAGCCAAGTCGATGGTGCAGGCGTCGAGAATCTTGAGGTTGCTAATGCCGAGGTCGGTGAACCTGCGCTTGATTCAGTTGCGCATCTCAAGGGAGTCGATGGCCGGCGAAGTTAACAAAGCGATCGGTGTCCTCGATGCGATGCAACATGCAGGCGTGGATGCGTAGCCGATGGTGCGCGTCGTCAGCTCGGCAGCGGTGACGTCTTCAGGGAGGCTTACTAGCTCCGCATCGACCGACGCCACGAACAGGTGGATAGCCCTATTGCCAGCGCTGTCTGCATCGCCCTCCGCACTGTTTGTGGCAGCGGTGTCGAGGCTGTGGCAGAGGCCAACGCGCGCATTCTTCTTTTAGATAACACGTTTAGCTACGTTTGCTAGTAGCTTTTCGCAGCGGTGCTGGGCTAGCGCTGTTAGGTACGTGTTGTCGACAGCCTTGTTGGCCTGGCTAGATATGCTAAACGAGCCGTTGATGCAGCCAGTGGCGAAGAAGTTAAGATCGCCATCAGACCGCAGTTCCCAAAGGGACTATAATTCCTCTAGCATATCATGTAGAATTGGTTGGCTGCAGCAATTAATATAATTAGATTAGTTTGAAGATAGAAACGTATTCGATCGGTCTTTTCTTATGTCACCCGATTATACTGTATGAGCGTCTCTACGACCTTATATTGCTGGGTGGGGGGCGATCTCAGTGAGGTGGTGTACTAACCAACGTGGTGCATTGACTGCTAAGATACAGTACCCTGGAGTATGGCGGACTCTGATTTTTGCATGACGTAGTAAAATAGTTCATTCCTTCAATGATAGATTGATACCAAAATTGAGAAGTGAAGATCTAGCAACCAATGACAGATTCTATTTCCAGTCTACTATTCGCGAAAAATATTATCCTTTTGTATTATACGGAGACCTAAAGCCCCATCCTTCTGTATATATAACCTAGAGTTAAGGCTGATCACTCTCTACAGCTACTATTTTGTTTTAAACACAACTCAATACATCTAACTATATACTGTTATCACTGTTCCCAGAAGTTCTTGTTCAAGATGCAAAGCAAGAATATATACAACGCATTTGACGGCCAGGTTATGAGATCTCCAGGCGCTCCAGCTGTGAATGAAGGTGATACTTGCCTTTCGTACGGGCAACTGAAGTACCTTGCGGAGTCTGTCGCCCAGCTATTGCTCGATCAGGGACTGGAGGACAATGAGGTAGTTGGGATTCGGTATGGTCCAGGTGTTCATTTCATTGTTTGTCAAATTGGCATTAGTTTAGCCAATGGCGTCTGTTTTCCTGTTGACCCGAGCCTTCCGGAGACTCGTATTGAGCAACTCTTCAGGCAAGCTAGAGTGCGATACGCTTTTTCCGACAACGGGTTTAAAGGCTATGTCGAAACCTCTTCTCAGATTGATATAGTCTCAGAAGGATCCAATTCCCTCAAAATCCACCAGTCCACAGCTACAGAGGAGCCGAACAGCGTAGACGGCAGAGTAACTCACATCCTCCACACTTCTGGTACGACTGGCAAGCCGAAACTGGTACAGATCACTGGAGCTGCCATCATGCACCTCGCATCATCCACTGACGTAACGCCCTTGCGATCCAACGACAAAACACTATTTCTCAACAATCCTAGCTTCGATCTGTCTCTCTTCGAGGTTTGGGTCTCTCTTCTTGCGGGAGCAGAGATTATCGTTGCACCAAAGACAGTAACACTTGACGGCTCCGAGTTACAGAGTTTCATTTCCCGGAAGGGTGCTACAGTCGGGTTTTTATCTACCAGTCATTTCCATCTCATTGCATTCAACCATCCTCAGGCTTTCTCTAGCTTAAGGTTGCTGCTCATAGCAGGTTCTGCGCTAAATCCGGCTGCTATCAAAACCGTTCTTAGAAATAATCCACCTCAGGAGGTATGGAATGCATATGGTCCGACGGAGGCGACAACTTTTGTGACCCTTCATCTGGTGGATCATCCAGAAGCAGAAATGACACAAGTAGCAATTGGGAAAGCCGTCGGAGACATGCAAGTAATACTGCTGGACAAGGATAGTCGAAGAATTACAATAGAGGAGGAGCTCGGAGAAATCTGTATCAGTGGTCCAGGGCTCTCCATTGGGTATCTGAATGGCACTGAAGAAGACCAGAGAAGATTTCTTAATACTTCTCCCACCCCTGGCTCCGAAGGATACCGGCTCCCATTGTTCAAAACAGGAGACTTGGGTTATTTCAGGAAAGAAGCGTCAGGAGTTCTCGTCTATGCTGGTCGGAATGACCGGCAGATCAAGCAAAACAACTATAGGGTAGAGCCCAGCGAGATCGAGTCAACTTTTATACAGAGCCAGATGGTCCAAGATGTTTGTGTTCTCCAAGTCAAAGCTCTAGATACCAAGTCCGGGCCACTACTTGTGGCCTGTGTTTTATCACAGGAGGATGACGTGAACAAAATTACGGATCTACGGGAATACGCGTCAAAACATTTGCCAGCGTACATGGTTCCTGACCAAATCATCTCCCTCAAAGGATTCCCACTTAACTCCCGTGGGAAAATTGATTACGCCACTCTCGAAAGCGAACTTAGAAAGAAGTTCCCTAGGAACAACATAAACACACAAAGTGACGCGTGGAGCATGCTTGAACAAATCTGGAGAGATGTTCTGGGCATACATGCGGCGCATGAGAATGACGACTTTTTTGACCTAGGCGCCACATCTCTGCAGGCTGCTCATTTGACTGTAAAAATCCGGCAGACCTTCGGGAAGTTTATCAGCCTACAAAATGTTTACGATAATTCACGTTTTGGGAAAACGCTTCAGTTCATCGAGTCCGCAGAGAACGGGAAAGCTACCGAGAAGATCGCGCTGATCCAGCGACTGAAGACTGACTCACGTTTGGCTGATGACATATTACGCTCAAATGGTACCACTCCAACAGCTCCTGGGACTAAGGAAGCGCATATTTTCTTGACGGGTGCAACGGGCTTCCTTGGGTCATACTTCCTAAAGCACCTCTCGTGCACTGTGGCTACTAAGTCGCGGGTCACATGTTTAATCAGGTCGAGGAACAATCTCTCCTCAAATGCACGTCTACGAGAAGCGCTTGAAAAATATGGCCTTTGGGATGACAAGATTGATGAACACATCAGTGTTGTGGATGGTGACCTTGAAACGCACCACTTTGGCCTGGCGGATGAAGAGCACGATCGCCTCGCTAGATCCGTTAGCGTGATATACCATTTTGGCGCACATGTCAACTTTTGCCAGCCTTACCAAACGCACTTCGGGGCGAACGTACTTGGCACCAAGAATGTCTTGGATTTCGCCAGCATTGGTCTGCCCAAAACTATCCATTATGCATCAACGATTGATGCGTGGGGGGCAACCGGTCTTGTGAATGGGACAAAATCGCTTCTCGAAGACGAGGCGTTAGAACCACATATTCAAGGCCCGCTACACGACACCGGCTATTCTCAGAGCCAGTGGGTGGCTGAGAGTTTGATGCACCGTGCCCGTGATCGTGGCTTCCTCGTCTCGATATATCGCTTGGGAACCGTAATTTGCGACAGCGAGCGAGGTGCTGGCAATCCCAACGATTTCTTTGCAAGGGTTGCGATGGGCAGTGCAAAGCTGGGGTTCTTTCCACTGATTAAAGATTTGCGATGGGAGTACGTCACCGTCGACTATGCATGCGCAGCCATCTACCACATTTCACGTTCATCTTCAAACATTGGACGATCTTACAGTATCGTCTCACCGGATCCGAAACAATCAGTTAGTTTAGAGAGAACTGGGAAGCTCCTTCACGAAGCTGGTTATCCTGTCAAACTGGTTTCATACCAGGAATGGGTGAAAGCCGTAAGCAAGGACAAGAACCTCAATGACAGTCCTTTGTTAGCCCTGATGCCTCTCCTCCGTGAGCCGGTGCTAGGAGAACTCACTCGTTTTGAGACGAGCCAGAAGACGCCGATTTATCGAACCGACAATACCAAGGAGGCATTGGCAGATGCTGATGACATAATCTATGTCCCGCTTAGCGCGGAGCTGTTTCGTAGGATGTTTCGTTTCTGGATTAACAACGGGTATTATGCAGCATAAGTTAGGAACATATTCTAGTTGTGCAAAAACTAGCAACTCAAGCTATTCTACTGTTAAATGCAGACGTTTAACTATGCACCTTTCAGGGTTTAAAAACCTCTATCACGTACTACTAGTATATATGCTACTAAATGGAGCGTTTGTATATAAAAGAATAGTAGACTTAGATTTAGAGTGTCTTGACACCAAAAGGTCCAGCATTGTTCTTAACTAATACGCGGTTTCCTAGCTATGCTAAGACAAGAGAGTTGAACTCCTAGTGGCGCGTTACTACTTATATATTGACACGCGAAACGCAGAACTACTATGTTCCTTATTCAGCCCCGTGAACAGCCTCACTCTTGTGCTCTATTTTCTCTCATACCCTCGAACAAGCAAACTGTTGAACGTATCATCGTCTATCCAGATAACTATCATCGCGTTTCTTTTATTGCTCGTGTGGGAAACCACCCCAATTCGGGAGAAATTGTACGAGGCCTCAACATCGGCTTCCAAATCAGCTCGAAGTCAAGATATACCCTGGCGACTATCGGACGTACTGGTGACATCGCTATAGAGTGTTCTTTCATCTCCCGGGCCCAGTGTTCTTTGAAGATACATAAGGACTTAAAGGAGATCCTCCTCTGCGATCGATCGAGCTCCTGATCGACTCAAACCTTTGGTTCAAAGTCTCTACAGTTTAAGTCGGAGCGCCCCGACCGCCGAGTTGTCGTGGCCGAGCTGATCAACAACCGATTCAGATTCGGTGGTGTAGATCACAAAATTTTCCAGTTCTAGATTTATTGGTATGAATATCCAATTGATTTCGATGAGAAAATGGCGAGTGAAGAGGACCATCATCGTTTCGCCCGGACTGTCGATAACGTAATACCGACCACTTTCCCCTCCAAACGTACCACACGGATCCACACTCCTGCTGTTCACACCCTTGGTTGTCGAGGGTGAGCGAAAAGGTTCAGGTCCTATAAGAAAATAGAGATTGGAAGAAGCTCATTTGGGAAGGTCTACAAAGCTGTTGATGTTGATTCGGGTAAATTTTCGTATTCAAACAGGTGAAATGGCCCAAGCGCGGGCTCCAGTCGCAAGAGTACACGATGTTGAAGCGGGAAGTAGAGACTTGCGCGCGTATATCTCATGTAAGGTGCCAGCTCCGAGTTTGTTATATAGGCATTAGCTGACATGTACGTAAGCCAAATATCGTAGAGTTTATATCAGCGTAAGGTTTTGGAGGAACGCATCTTGATATTTTGACACATCTGAAAGAAGGCAACACCGGGAATCTAATTAAAAAGGAGGTGTTTACAAAAGACACACGATTGGCGGAGTCTCTTCTCCATCAGATGCTCTAAGCACTTGATTACCTTGCATCCTATCGAATTATGGATAGCGATGTGAAGCCTGAGAACATGCTCCGCCAGTCTCTACCAGGCGGCGGCTATACCTTTCAACTCACGGACTTTGGCGTTTGTAGTACCATTCCACATCCCCGAACCCTCGTTGGCAGTCCAATATTCATGGCACCCGAATTCTTCTCGAAAATTGAGCAAACATCAAAAGTAGATGTTTGGTCCCTTTATATCAAGTTAGCCTACGCATTGAACGTGGATGAGTTCCGGGGGAAGCGGTTTGGCACGCCTTGGTTGGGTAAGATTGCAGTACAGGGTGCTGCAAATAATCGTTCTTTAAGCTGCGTCCAAGAAATGGCGACCGTTGACCCGGAAGCACGAGCTTCTGCGGCAGATATGCTCGAAAAACTCTTCAACGGGGATGGGCGTTCAACTCCGCGCGGTTTGCTAAAAAAAAAAAAAGTAGTGGGACGATATGCGCTCCGTCAACTCTGCGCACTATAGGATATTGAAAAGGTTTTGTCGAATCTCGAGGAAGACGCCGTTAACAACGATAACAAAAGTGAGAGACTCAGCGCCCCATACACAAGATAAGGGAATGGACTCAGGCACAACATCGAAGTCGAAGTGTTTGATGTGGTAGTGCACAGAGGTTGGTTCAGCCAGGTAATCGCTGATGCCAAGCTTCAAGCAAAAAGTTTCTCGCGTTTCGGAGGTCAAAGGAACAACGTTGTACCCAATGAATGCCTGATATCTACAACATATAAGTTTTCCTAGATAGGCGCATACTCGGTGTATTGATATCCCGCGTGGGCTGGCCACTGTGCCGTGTGCGCAAACCATAAGCTGCATGTGTATGACAGCGTAAGCAATACCCTATTTAGATACTATCTTTTCAGCCAGAAACCCATGTTCTGTTCCTTATCGTCTTAGATAGCTCTGTAAGTTTCTGCGTTAGTCATGTGTCTAAGGATAAGGCGGGATAATCAAGCCAAATGCAGACAACAAATGCGGGGATAAAGCGATCCTGAAGTCAAAGGTGAAGGGATTGCCTAGCAGCAACATAATTCTCTGAATATCCGAACAAAAGACTCACTTACAAAATGCCCGTGGTGGAAAGAGACAGGATTTCAACATGCGGAAGCTAAGATAACGAGGCGCAACGCCTTAGTTCACTGTTGGTGTATTGCATACGTTCAGAGTTTGTATTTTAGTCTTCCTAGGACATGGGGAACAGCTTTTCAACTAGTTACATGTAGAAGACGACCCAACTCTACGTGTACAAGTGCGACGTTCTTTACTCAACTCAACCCTTGTCGTACAAATCAGTCTCTCGATGGCTTTCGCATCGAACCATAAGGTAGATTGAAACGTGGAGAAAATAGAAGACCTAGCAGGTCCATCGGGGAGATAAGAACCAAGACTAATCGAGAATAGGAACGGGAGACGTGGATAGTTTGAGCGATTAAGAGGATACAGTTTTTCCATATGTGACGGGAAACTCTGTTAGCCAGCACTGTCCAATTACCTAGCATGAATCATAGACCGGTTTATCACCGTTGTGGCTGAATGGATATCTTTTAGTAAATAGAGTTTTGCAGTACATAGAATATAGAGCCAGACGGCACGGAGAGAATAATTGATACGAGAGACCCATAGAGAGATAGATGGTGGCAAGAAGAGATAGGATACGAAGGGATATGCGAGCGTACGTACAGTGATTTAAGACCGTCGGCAGGATATAAAAGGCTTTGAATCTCTCGCATCCACGAGCTACCTTTGACAGCTTGGACAATCACTTCTATAGCAAACATAAACACTCAAAATCAAACTCATCTTCGTATATCTAGCTTTGCATCCATACTATCAATAAAAGTCGCCATGCTTCCACTTATCACTGTTGTCTTGGCCTTCCTAGCTAATAGCACCCTCGCTGCTCCGCCTACGAAACCCCTTCCTTATAGTCCGTCACTGGGATCACAATTCCAAGAGAATCAGGAGAGAAGTATCTGCACTGGCTTACATGTTGGAAAATTTGGCTGGTGTGGAGGCTGCAAGCGTTTGGAAACTTGCAGCGCGTATCTTGCTTTCCTTTCTGGTTGCACCGCTACTGAGCTCCATACGTTCCAGTGCCTTGCCCCCCCTCCATGAAGTGGGGTAAACATTGTGTGGACGTTCCATGCAGACCAAATTTCTTGTTCGCTGTAGACTAGATCATTGCTAACTCCATATCACAGCTGGCTTGCTTGGCTGCGCAGGTTCTATCTCATTCGTTAAGGCCAGTGCAGATTATTGTAAGTTATTGCTATGTTGTATATATATATGCTTCAGCATTTGACTTATTGTTGTCAACACAAGTCTCGAAGGACTCTGCATCTGCCAGGGAGGCCGCTGTAAGACGTAGAGCACAGAACAAAGAGATTGAACACGAGAGGGCTTTCTCTATAACCTCATCTTCTATACCTAGTCGGACTAGCTAGTGCGATAGTGAATTGGGTATAAATTCATACACTTGTAGTGTTATGTTAGCTTTACGCACAGGATTGATTTTGATACTTTGGGTGTCACGTGACTTAGACATCATACCCACCCGAGAGATACCTAATCAAGATCCAAGAGCATCATCTTGAGCAAACCTGAGGATCTGTACGGTATAAATCCACCGTCTGATCCTTAGGGCGAGTTACAAGGATTCGACTGAACGCTATTCCGAAACCTTTGCTCCTACATGCTAAACCTTTCACAGCACGTGCATCATACCAGAATCATATGTACACTACTGTAAAAAATATATTTGTTGCAGCAGGGCTATAGAACTTTGAAATTCACTAGTCGTTGAGCTTGTTTGATGTTCCGGTGAGCTGGGGCGCATGCAGTGAGTTCTTGTTGGTCACTCGCGTGCGCCCATTGGCGGAGACCAGGATTGTCACAAGGAGGGTCGGCTGGTCGCAAACTAGAAATCTCCGCGGTTAGCAAAAACACCAAGTGAATGGACTCAATGCTTGTCGCGGGGCGTCCGAAAAGGTGATCTGGGGAAAATCCCGTGAGGCTGGACCCGTGAGGCTGGATCCGCCCTGAGCTGAGGACGGGGGAGAGCAGAATCCAGGCTCCTTGGCAGGCGAAGCTTAATAGTCTGGACCACGTTGACGATTTCGCTACGATCTACGCCACGGAATTAGTGTGCAGCCACTTTTCTCATTTCTGGCAATTTTGTCATTATCCAATAAGTGGCAAACCGAATTGGAGTGGTCTGCTGCGGATGAACCTGCGGCGGTGTGTATTTGTAGCGGCCCAATGGGGAGGGTGGGGGGCATTCAGCCCTTGAGTGAAACAGCTCGCTTGGGCTTAGTGCAGCCACGTTTTGCATCTGCAAGGGGTTCTGTCGTACCAAGCAGATCGCGACGGACATTGTCATAGCCCGATCTTATTGTTGTCGGCATCTCAACTTAGTACTGCCAGCGATACAAGCTGTGGCGCGGAACTTACCATGAGGCTGAAGGTACACACACTTTGTACTTGCCTAAAACGATATTAGAACGTCAGCCTAGAATGCGGTGTATCGCGCCGAGGCCGAGGAGACTACACATTGTAATTTGTATATAAGGCCTCGTATCTTGCGAGGTATCTTTCCCACCATTCACTACAACACAATCACCACCACAATACTCAACCTTTCATATTCACAATTGCTCAATACCTTCCCTAGCACCAACACTCGCAACAATGGCCCCTCAACTTCTTGCTCTTGCTGCTCTTGCGCTCCGTGCCACCACCATGTGCCCTGTCAGCCCTGCCTGTCCTGACAACAATGGGTGTGTGAACAATATCAAAGGAGTCAAGTTCCAAGTCGCCTGCGGAACTGATTACTACGGCGGAGACTTGATCCGTGCCGAGGTGAGTTAGTCTTTACAGTTGATTCACACCATTCTTACCTCGACAGACTTCCACCATCGGCGAGTGTATGCAAGCCTGCGCCACCAACACTCTCTGTGTTGCTGCCAGCTATGTCGGAAACAGCTGCTACCTGAAGTCAACCCTCACCGGTGCCCAGTCCAAGTAAGCCTCAACGCCAAGATTTCAATCGCTATACTGACAATATCAGCTCCAACGTCGTTGGCATCGCTATCACTTCCAAGAAGACCACCGTGACCGATGAGGGCAAGAAGCCAAGGAAGGCGTGCCCCTCCAACTTTGCCTGCCCTACCGACAACGACTGCTCTTTCACATCCGGCGGTCGCACTCTGGTTCTGACCTGCAGCAATGACTTCTACGGTTTCGACTACGGCAACGTGTTTGTCGAAAACCTTCAGGCTTGCACTCAGGCTTGTGCGGCTGATACTAATTGCGAGGCTGCTTCGTTTAATGGTGGAGCAGGTTCCGGTTACTGCTACCTGAAGAACACCATGGGTCCCTCCAACGCCAATAGCAATGTCAACTGTAGGTTCAGAGAATTTCCGAGTACGAATCTTTCACTGACATTAGTAGCCGTTTACGTCCTCACCCCCAACACTCAGTAATTAAGCTGAGCATGTCTCGAACGGTCTCGCGTCCGCTTTATAGGACATGAACCATTCAGCTGCTGGGGAGGTGCAGTTTCAGATCTGGTACTACCTCCTGCGATTACTTTGGTAGTGATAATGTGTGATTTGGCTAGATTAATGCTCTGGGCTTGTATTATGATATTACGATGTAGTGCTTGGCTCCAAAATTATTACGAATATAAAGTGTCTCCAAGCGTGTATCTTAAGGTAAAATGTTTCTTTGAATGAACAACGCCACATGAATATCTTCTTAACCTCATTGTAGTGCGAATATTTTCGTAATGCGGAGGGGAAGCAGCCTCTGCGATCTTGTAAGATACGAATACCACCACCATGGTATCATCCAATCGCACCAATGCAGCAATCTATCTTACAATGTGACGAAATACCTTCGCTAGTACTTCGCATCTATTTTCTATACATCGGTGGTTCATACTCAAGATCATATGAGAGATGGTACTATCGCAGGTGCACCAGATGTTAAGAACGTTAGCACTAACTCACTTTGTCGCTTCAAATAGCTTGCTGTAATTGTTCACCGGCTAATCTTATTGAAAGTCCTTCCCACATCTCACATCTTAGTGATAACTATTCTACGCCTAGCTTCGGCTTCCCATTGCACATATAATTGATTGGCTTCCGTCCTATACTCTGATATTTTACCAAAACATTTACTATTACGTATAAGTAACCACTGTTCAGTTGGACTCTTAGCACATACTATCTAAGTTGATTAAAGTCAGCCCGCTGTCTCTAAATCTAAAGATCTTACATTCTAAATCACACATCCTATTACTACGAAAGTCCTTAGATGTATAGTTTCGGTGGCTTCTCCTCCTTAGAAAGTAAGCGACAAAGAAGATCTAAACCTGCGGTGAGTGCATAGTGTTCTAAAGGTTAGCAGAAAAGAAATGTAAGTGTGAACACCATATCAACAAGAATACCCGGAGCTTTAGTGGCGCCCGTGGCTTAGGCACTACTTACTTAAGTACGCGTAATCGCGTACCTCAGCAGTCGCGCAAATAATCACACACGCGTCTTAGTCAACTCGCAAGTCGCAAAATGGCATTTTCATATGTGCATTCTCAATATTCCCCTGGAGAAACCCAGAACTTATACAATGCCATTGACTCCGCCACCCCAGAACGTGTGCGTGCGTTGCTGAAGCACTTGAGTACAACCTCTCCCTCCAACTTCACGTATGTTCAAGGCGAGCTGATGCTGCGGCCCGGCGTGTTGAAGAGGGCCCGGTCAGAGGATCAGGATGAGGAAGATGATGTCTCTGAGTCTAACTACTCTGATGAGCAAACTCATGCGCCAACACGTAGACAGCGATTCGAGATCTTCGAGTGGTGCGACAAGGAGTATGATGTCCTGCATAACGAAAAGAAGAGCTGTCAATGGCATGTAGATTAGTACATACTGTACAGAGTAGCTTACATACAAAAGCGCCGATTAACTTGTAATCTGCAGGCGAGCTGGAAGTCGACTACGAGAACGACTTCCGGGCCGACCACGACGAGGATTGCCACGGCACGATAGATACACCCGAGATGCGTGAGAAATATCTGGAAGGTTTTGTGTGGACTTGCTGCAATAATCTAGGGGCCGAGCTTGGGTGCAAGCAGACCAGACACCACCCAAATCGCGCAAAGAGGGCGAGGAGATAAGCATCAGAACGCACATGTACATACGTACCTCATAGTGGCGTTGCTAAAGATACTTAAGATACGCCAATGTCAGTCTAATCAGGGAGATATCACAAAAGGATGATCAGTTCCAAGTGCTTTTCTTCGCTACACAACCTATCACGCCAGGGCATCGATCGCTGTGACAAGAATAAAAGATTATTTATTAATTCCACCTATTCCCAACACCTTGTGCTTCGCGTATGTAGATTATTCTCGGTATCACGCGAATAACTTCCTAATTCATACCAAGAATTCAGTCCTAGGGCGTCGCGCACCGGCTCTAGGTCAACATCCACTGGCGATTGCTTATCCTGATATACCTAGTCGAACCAGGCCCAGACGTTGTTGATGTTAGAGCAGTCGGGCAGAAAGCAGGATCCAGTTGGGTCGTTCAGACCGGGAGCCTCCCAACACTGGTAGTTGTTGGATGTAGCGATACAGAACTGTCGAAGAGCTCGTTGGCTGCCGGGTCGCCTCTGCACAACATTGCAATCCTGGTAGATATTGAGGTCCGTATTATAATCGACCGAGTACCACTGCCAAGTTGACGAACTAGTCGATTTGAACCCAAATCCAGTCGATGCTCTGGCCCATGGGGTACCGTCCTTAGAGGCACAGAAGTTCTTCTGGGCTGCCGCAGGAAGAGCAAGGCCAATGGTGGCGAGAACGAGGGTGTTGAATTGGACCATCTAAGAAGTATCAGAAAAGAACAAAGTGAGATCCTTGGAGAAGAGGTTGTACTTTTGACTGATTCGAACTTTAGAGCGAAGTCAAACGAAAGAACAGGATATTACCGATCTGATAGAGAGGTAGTGGATTCAGTGCCGATAGTGAGCAAGTATGATAGGAAGTGAGTGATGATCTTGAAAGAGGGAAAACGATGTCTTTATATGTGTCACTGGTCATAGTAGAAACCACTAATGAAGAACTTGAGGAATCACCAAATACTACTAAAACGCGATCCGTAGAAATTGCCGATATAGGGCCTGATCAAGAAGCTAGTAGGACCTTACGTGAGCCGCTAGCGAAATCTGCTCAACTGTATAGGATAGCTAATCTTATGCTGTGATCACACCATGATAGAGGGATTGGTTTTGTAAGTATTTTGTATTTGTTAAGAGCCTAGAAAGGGTTGCTAAGTTAGCGACTCTATACACTACGCCCATACTAAACGCTAAAGCAGAGTGTCGATTAGTTTTGACGTTTTTCTTTGGAAAGCAATTGGATTCCTTTCTTAATACTATGCTTTCTCGATCTCAAGACTCTGCTAGTGCTTACCTAAGACAATCTAGGTAACTAGTTAATCCTACGCACCCAAGCTTCTCTATTTCTTGGCTAATACCCACCAAAAAAAAGATCGCTACCTTATGGGAAGTTCCATGATCTACAAAACAATTAAACACCCTTGCTGCCAAGAGATTAGCATTACAACTCCCCACCGTGGCTCTGTTGGACCTCGGAGACAGCATGTCGCGGCGGAACACCAAAAATCTTAAATTAGTAGACATGAATCATGTGGCACAAAATCTTAGCTAAGACGAAGACACCATCGTCTTCTTAGTAGAACCGAGGTGAACAGTCTGCTAAGACTTAGTTCAACGGCAAGCTACGTTTCTCTATAAAGGGCAGATTGTGAATGTAGTTATTAACATATCCTCACTCACCTCCCTTCATTCGTTAAGATACTTTCCTCATTTCAAAAGATTCTAAACTTAGAACGTTTTGATACCAACTTTCAAACATGTTCAGCAAGGTCAGAGCATTGAAAAACAAGTCCGTAACTTGAAATCAGTATTAATAGCTTTCTGTAGGCTTTACTCACTGTTTCTCTTCTCGCTGGTTTGGTGTTTACAACTCCCACTCCAAACAGCGTGGTCGAGAAGCGTGATGTGACGTGTAGAGGAGTTACTTACTCTAACTCTCAGTTGGAGGCCTGCCGTAGAACTCTTTGCTTGTATGACAACAGGCAGGGGCCCGGAGGATACCCTCACTTTTTCAATAATGGAGAGCAGCTGAACTTTGGGTCATATACGGGAGACCTGTATGAATATCCGTTAGTAGGTGGTAGCAGGGCCTACAATGGGGGTAAGTGAAGTTTTTATTCAAATCGTAGAATTGCATCGGCAAATCACCGGTGGCATAAGTACCTTTCTTTCAAGACGTTATATCTAGTGATACCAGCTAACGATTTGTCTCTAGGTGCACCAGGACCAGACCGTTGCGTAGCTGCTTACGATGCAGCTACAGGAAACTGTGACCTCCTTGGTGCCATGACGCATAGAGGCGCTCCTGCTAATAACCGTAATACATTTTATCTCTGCTAAGATAAATTCCGTATATCAGCACAGCGGATTGATAGTACTAAGCAAGATGTATGAATATAGAATGCACCATGAGTATACACATAGCTTGTACCGTATATAATTTACATTTTACTATCCCTCGTTCATATGAACGATCTTGCTTAGATTCTAAGCAGCAAGTTTCCGCTTATAGCGTTCAAACATTCAAGCGTTTTGTCGATGTGACAACTATGTACTCTGGAGTGTATTTAATATTTGTGCAAAGCTAAACAGGGATGTTTAAAAGATTCCAGAGTCTTTTTGCTGAAAATCTGACACAGATTACTCGGTCATTCTGTTGATTTAGTGGCTTGGGACTTTTAGTTAAGGCGCCAACCAAGCGTTCGTAACATTTTAGGCTCACTAGTTAAGATACAGCATATCCATGTACTTCGGGAAAACTTCGGTAATAGTTGTGTCGCGAGAGCACTAACCCCACGCTAGCTGGGGTTTTAGTGCGGCGCAGTAGTCAGCGTACGGCACCTTCCGTCTTACTGTTTTATATATACGCTGTTGGTTTCATTCATCCAACTATTGTGATAAAAGCAGTAGACAGAGCATTGCTACAGACATCTCAACAGATTGAGAAACCTTTCAGGTAAAGTCCAAACATCTCATGAAAGCTTTTTTATACTTAGGTTAAGACCATCTGCAGAGTACGTCAGCTAAGCCATTCAGTATATCGTACAAGAAGTAAACTCCATAATGCGAGGGATTCGTGGTCGTAGAGGTAATGGCCGCGGAGGAATTGTCCGAAATGCACAGCGTCCCTCGCCGACCGTTTTGCAAGTTGCGGATGCTTCCATACCGGCCTCTTTAGCTGCGAATCGCCTTGTAGCACCTGCTGTCTCATCATTTGCTGCTGCTGATTCAGAAGCTGGTGAGGCTGCTTTATGGAATATCTGGAATCAAGTGGTGGAATACGCGTCGAAGATGCCAGCCAATAAGCTTGATAGGGTGGTAGAAGTCCTCGCAGCCGTGGCTGACCTAAAAGAGCCGGCTGAGTTTGAAATATGGGGTGAGCAGGTTACTTGGAAGCAACTCCCATTGCTGGGGCCTGCCATTCGAGAGTGTTGGAACGATGGTATTTAGCCCTACCTTGTATTTTTCGGTTTGAGCACATGCGGCAAAACTCAGATCGCTAAGTTCCATCTAGAGCAACATGCAGAACCATTCAATATGAATGCACTCGCCGCCCGTCTTACAGCTGCTGATCTGGTAGATTTTTCTATCTACGCGATCTGGACGCTGCGTCGGGTATTAGAGGACACAGCACCAGATCAGATTTACAGTAAAAGTGGAGACGAGGGGTGCAAAGCAGCTGCGGCATGGTTTATCTACGCGGGTAAGACTATGCACGCGTTTTGTAAGGAGGGTAAAACATACGATGGTCGTGCTGCAGAACAGGGAAGCGATATTGTTGACAAAAACTGGAATGGTTACAGTGAAGGGAGATGGTGGCTTTGGGTAGAGCGGCTGGAGGAGGTTCAGAAGACTGTGGTGGACGAAGATACGAAGAAAGTTTTACAAAAAGCGATGGAAGCGATTCAAGATGCTAGTAGCGAGTAGATTCCCGACTTCTGGATCAACAGTTGTGCCACCATGTCCAGCACTCATCGTCTCAACTCTGCGTCCTTCTTGGCCAAATTGACCTCAATCCGTACAGGCAATTATAGTTCCTTCTAGATCGCGTTTTTTTTTCGCTAGATATTTGAAGAAATACGATCCCTTTGCTGCCCGGACGATTATGAACAAGAACATCCTTCCTGAGACATTTGCAGCCTTGCCCTTGTAGATATGCTACCAGCTACCTATATATAAATCAGGGAGGCCTACTATAACCTCATTTAACCCTTTAGACCCTTTTAGAATAATTCGAGAGCACGATTAGCTCGAGTGGTTAGACGTTCGTAGAATCAAGCCCGAGAATATAATTGCTAACTAGACTCACACTATAATGATAGATGTATGGGCTGGAACGTCGAGATGATATTTAGAATGACGCACAGGATACCAGCAAAGTGAGTATCAAAGAACACGCAGCTGACGCTATTGATCATATGATCAACAATGAAAAACAACGGAACTCTGATATCCTCCCCACCTACCGAAGCGATGCGCTTGATCTACTTCAGACTCTACATCGGCCTTGCTTGGAGGATTCAATCCCAATATCTGATAAGGCTGAGCGAGGATGATCTTCTGACCTATGTTGTCCCTCAATACATCATGTTCTCAAAGCCTTCCAGAATGCAAGCCATTCTTGCCATTCCTGTCCAAGTAGAGTTGAACGGATATATCGTCCTGTAAACTATGACGAATCAATAGAACATATAGTAGAGTGTGATTGGTCGCGAATGTTACTCAACCCTGCGAGCTTCGCTCGAACACGTTTCTTTGCAGGATCGCCCCACAATGCGCATGAGTGATACGTAGGAGAAAACATATCTTGTGGCAAAAAAAACAAGCCTCACTCTGTCAGAAAGCCCGAATATTGGATAATGAGCCCAATACATGAATATTATGTCACATCGAGCGTTGGCCAATCCTCACGTAGAGACTTTATGACGAAGGTTGCCGTATAGCTAGGCTAGGCTAGGAGAAACGGCAAGGCAAATCCGGCTTTTTGAATTGAGAGGAAACCTTCTGAACTCCGTTTTCGCTGCGCGTATTTGGCACTTTCCTTGCTACGCGTTTACAACATAGCCTACGCACTGTACTTCAGCTTTTGGGTTACACACCCGTCATCAGGTCTGAAGCATTGGAAGCGTTAGAAGTTTTAGTTCATTCCATCAGCTCAATTCAGGGAACAGTGCTTCTTTGTTCATATTTGATATAGAGCCTGCCACGATATGTATGTCTGTCCACTAACGGGATTTCAGCCATGCATCGCTCATGGTCCTCCTGGCACACCATATGAAATTATCGGCTTTGTATTACGCAGAGAAGTAATCTGGTTGGCAAACGTGTACTCTGCGACCAATTACGTGGTGCATCAAGATATTTCCTTAATCAGTATGACTGATAGCACGTACAGAATTCCAAATGCACTGCAAATGATCCAGATTGTAGTGAAGATGGTTCTGGAGCGGGCGTTGGATTTCGTACGCAGATCGGATTATCCATAGGGAGCAAAACAAATACGAAGACCCTACAATAGTATGACAAGACAAAAATACAAAACCCTGACATCATGACCAGAAGAATGGTACCCTAAAATAAACTAAGGTGGGACGCCATGATCAAAGCGAATGGCCGCGGATCAAACTTTGCTGGCCATGGGAGCTACAGCGTTCAACCTTGCAGGTATCCATTTCAAAACGTAGCTAAAACTATCTACAGAAACGCCTTTACAGCGCTCGCAGTACCTTGAAAGTCCTCTAGAACATGCCAATGCCCCACACTTTCCAGTACATGCAGACTTCCCTTATCTCCTAGCCCTTTCAAGTATTTCTCGCACAACTGAGGTGGCGATACCTTGTCTTCAGTCCCTGTGATGATGAGCGTTCTGGGTTGGATCATGGCAAAGTCGAGCGCTTTTGCCTCTGCAAGTGCCGTACATCCCTTCGCGTACCCCTCGGGATCCTGACAAAGTAACGACATGCGCACTGCAGCTACTGCTACTGGATTCGTAGTTTTCGTCTTATCCGAAGTACCAGCGGAGACAACAGCATCGACAACAGCGTGCATGCCCTTACTTCGCACCGTCTCAGCTCGAGCGTGGGCACCCGCACTCCCTGCTTCAGGTAGAGGTGACGGTGGAGGCCCGATTAGAATTAAGTTCGATATCTTGTTTGGATGCATCAGTGCGAACTGAACAGCTGCAAGACATCCCATTGAATGAGCTATGAGCGTTGCATCCGGCGTGATGTTCGCCTTCTCGAATATGCCGTTAACGTCATTGGCAATAGATTCGATGCTCACTTTGCTAAGTGGCGAGGATGGTGAGAGTCCATGGCCTTCTAGGTCAAATAGATGTAGGGAGTGCGTGGTTTCAAGGCCCAGAGACTGGATCAGTGGAGTGTAGAAGTCAGAGGTGCCACCAAGACCATGGATGAAAACAATAGATAGTTTTGATTGTACACCGATACTTTTGTAGTAGAGTGGTTTGTTGTTGATGATTGTCAGCGACGTATTGTCGATGCTTTTAGCCAAGTTACAGGGCTGTATACGGGACAACGTGCTTCCAACCGTGGTGATGGTCGGATTGTTCGAGTTTGGACTTGCAATGCGATTCGTCAGAGTACCCAGACCGCTGACGGATACGGCGACAGTATCACCAGGCCTGAGATAGATTGGTGGCTTCCTTCCGATACCAACGCCTGCAGGCTTTATTGCAGGTCAGTACATTTAATTACTGATTATCATCGAATGCACTTACTGTTCCGGTGGCAAGAACATCGCCCGGCATGAGTGTTTGCCCTTCGGACATGGTCTTGATCAGATGAGGAATGGAAAAGATCAGGTCCTTTGTTGTGGCTTTCTGTCGCAGCTCCCCATTGACGTACGTCTCCAGCTGCAATACCTTATCTAGCTTGGATGCTGGTACTGCAATCGGTCCCTGTCATTCTAAGTCAGGCGTTGCTTGAACACACCTAGTAGCACACATCAACTTACCATGGGGCAGAATGTGTCGGGAGACTTTCCAATATAAAACTGCTTGTGGTCTCTTTGACGCTCACGCGCCGTCACGTCATTGACAATTGTGTAGCCCCATACGTGGTCCATTGCGCTTTCTTCTGATATGCGAAATCCAGCTTTGCCAACGACAACACCGATCTCGCCTTCATAGTCAACTGTCTCCGTGAAGTCCAAATGCGGCAAGATTTCATCGCCATTTCCAATAATGGAAGTGAAACGTTTGGTGAAAATGACAGGGTGGGACGGCGTGTCTACTTTGTCTGAGCTGTCAAAGCCTGAGCTATTGAACTCCTTCGCATGTTCAGCATAGTTTTTGCCAACACACAAGATATCGCGGCCGGTGAAGGGTGGCAAGATCTTGATGGCGGAAGCTAGTAAAGTTTTGCCCGAAGGGATGATGTTAGATTCGCCAATTTCAATCACCTGGTAGATGTTGTCTAGCGGCGTTCCGGACAAGAAGGCCAATGGCTGGATAGATCCATTCGCGAGATCATAATGACCAACGCGGGTGCGCCCTGTATCCAGATCTAGGAAAGACACATAGTTCGTTAGGGACCTGTGCCCATTTGCTGAACCGGTGGAAGGCATGGCTCGGAATGCAAATCTATCGTTTCCTGCTGGTCGATCCTAGGGTTGTGGGTTGGCAACGCAAGCTGCCGTCTAATCACTCAATTAATAAAGCCTGGGACGCGCATTCGCACATGTCACATCTAATACACGCTATCTGGATTTGCGCTCATACGTGGAACAGGTAAAGAGGAGGGGTAGTGGACCCACGGAGGAAGAATCGCGGAGATGGCGGGGATAGCAGAGAGGGTACGTACCTACTGCGGGGCTCCCGCTGCGGACTTGGCGTCGCTCAATGCGCGGCGGACAACTGTGTAAATCACGCGTGCTTTTCTCGTGAGATCTAGGAGGAGCCATTGTCAAGCTAGCATCAAGTGAAAAATTAACGTATGAAGTTGTTCGACATGTAATCCAGGTCAGAAAGTGACGATCGGTCGTGTAGCTTGACATTCAGAGAGCACCTTTTCCACGTCACTTCACATGTCGCATACTGCGCAATTTCATCATGCTTTATGCGCAGATATTTGACACCGTCAATAAGTGAGAACTTTGGCTATCAATCAACTGCTTTGAGCCTTTCCCGGCTGTTGGTGCATATGTTACTAGCACAGAATGGCCATCTCTCCTCATCATGTACAAAGGTCATGCCTGATACTAGGAAATATGTTCCACTCGCAACATGCCGCAGGAAAGGAACAATGATTCCAACTGACTACCGTATGTCGGAGCTGTTAGCAGCAGCAAGAATTACATTGTGGAGTTGTTTTATTTCTGCATTCCCTGTTGCCATACACGATCATATGGCATCCTTCTTTCTGTTCAATGGATTTAGAAACATCAACAATAAACTCCGCTACGAACTCCAATGCTTCTACGATGAGAAAGTGTATGATTCACCAATCCCCTTCATCTATCGCGCCAAACTTCCTCAACCCAACCCATCTCGGCCTCTCCTTCCATCTATTCCCTACATCCTTTGTCCGCGCAACTCTCAGCGGCTTCCCCCATTCCTCCATATTTTTTTCTGAACGAAATCTCTAAAACTGCCATGAGCAATCTTGCCCTCTGAAGTTCTTGATGACTCAAGGACCACCTGGATGTTCATGGACGAATTGCGTGCAATTGTACACTATCTCATCCACAATAATGTACAACTGTTCTTCCTGATCGCTTGCGAATTTTTGAGCAGTCAGAGAAACTTCCGCGGCGGAAAGAAAAGGCAGCTCAGAATCGGGGGTACCGTGAGGGACGAATGGAAGAGGCTGCAGCTCTTGCGGATGCAAAGATGCACTGATGGGAAGCCTTTCAGTACAAAAGGTACGTTCTTCGTCCAATTCCAGATTTGCTCTCGTTTCAACGCTTGATCGATTCGGATTGGACTTCAACTCAGTTGTCTCATCGCGCACGGCTCTCAGCCACCCCATATCGTATGTTGAGTCTCGCTTGCAGGTAAAGAAAGAACGTGGTCGCAATGTCTGGCTGCCAATCGATCCAGCGAAAGGATAATCTCGTACAAGAGGTACACAGCGGGGAAATAAGCGCAATGACCTTGGAGACAAACGGCTGGCCAGTAGGATAGAACTGGTTAAGCGCAGGGTAGGCCGAGATGACGGAAACCGAAGTGTGGTCGTACAGTCTACGGGGAAACCTCATTCTACACTCACGATCCATGTAGAATGTGTCATCTAGGTAGAGAATAATTAATTCCTCAAAACGCCATCCGTCTTAGCCTGCCGTGGGGTTTATCAAGTGCATTTATGTGTGTGGTATATTTTCTTGAGATCATACATTGTAGACTCTGAGCCAGTGTCTCCGAACTCCATAGTCTTATCCTCCATTACCGTGATAGCACTATGGCTCTTGAACGAACCGATTCTGGCACTAGCCATGACAGTAGGCCCTGGCCGTCAGTCGATGTGGCGCCAGAGCCTTATCGAGGGCCTCCTAGAAACATCGAGTCCATCAAGGACCTCAAGTGGGAAGACCACCTCCAACCAAAAATATACGAAATCTAGGGTCCACACCCGGAAACGAAGATAATTTTTCTCGATGTGAATATCCTTGATTCCTCTAGCAGGGAGCCGTTCCGCGGAGACGTTTTGATTGAAGTTTCATAAGCATTGCGAGGCTTCATACGATTAACCGAGAGGTAGAGCTGATAGCTATACAAAAGGGGAGCGATTTACAGCGGTGGGCCAAGTACCAGATGTAGAACAGCTCAGGGCGCAAGTTGGTGTCAGGGTGTTCTATGGAAAAGGCAGAACACTAATGTCAGGTTTGGGAGACGCCCACACCCATCTTACCTGGAATAGTGGTGATCTGGAGCAATTGGGACCCTCGGGAGTGGAGGAACATACACTCCTGACTATGCGGAGTGCGCAATGTTTTCTCGATTCTGGCTACACAATGTGTTTTGGCGCTACGTCTACGAAAGAGAGACTTGATGTTGTCATCTAAGATGCCATAAATGCTGGAGACACACCTGGTCCCAGATATCTTGCTAACGGGAAAGATATGGCGCGACGGGGAGGCAAGCTCGTTGGAGGAATCACAGCTTTTGCAGACGGGCCAGAAGAGATGCGGGAGGTCATCAAACACCATGTCCAGCTCGGAGTTGACAATATCAAATTGAGCATGAGTGGCGAAGAAGCAAGTGAAACCGTACAATCTTTTACCCTTTTGAACTTGGAGCTAACATCTGCCTGAAGATTACGGAGACACGATCGGCCCAGGACTGCTACTTCACCGAAGAGGAGACCCAAGCATGTGTGGATGAGGCCCACAAACATGGAAAACGTCTGTGTTCACACGCTTGTGCCCGTGACTCCGTCATCATGTCGGTCAGACACGGAATCGAAACAATCTACCACGCCTCTTACATCGATGATAGAGGCATGTACATGCTTGAGCAAGCAAAGGCCAAACACATTGTTGCTCCAGCGATCAACTGGCTGGTATGTACGCTGAATGACGCGGAAGCATTTGGCTATCCCAGGGAAGCAGCCGAGAAAGCAGGCTACAAACGCGAACTCGATATTGCTATTGCCGGGCTGCGGGAGATGCATCGCCGGGGTATCGTCGTTTTGCCTGGTGGTGACTACGGGTTTGCATGGACACCGCATGGAACGTATGCACGGGATCTCGAGCACTTTGTGAAGCTCCTGGGCTTCACCGAACATGAAGCCATCATCGCAGCGACGGCTGGGGTTGCAGCTCTATTCATGCAATCAGATGAACTAGGCAAAGTTCAACCGGGCTAATGCTTGTTTCGGCGAGTGCCTCGAATCTTTCAGCGCACTCCTGTACCTACAGCAGCATGGTACGCATGGAAGCTGCCGATGCCTCCAAGATACCATCTGAATGGAGAAAACTCGTCCTTGGTGAATAGTTCGGTGTGTGTATATGCAGTATCTTCTCTGCACTATGCGCAACTCTGGATGCTGATAGACGGCATTGTTGGGAGTCGACTACGGAACGTCTCAAGGCGTGGTTGTGAAGAATCAAAATCAACTGATACGAACAACCTTGCAGAATATTGAGATGTGCTCTATGATATGTAGGTAATGCAGCTAATCTCGATTGTGACAGATACTTGTCATGCCAACTGCGTTGTTCATTGAGTATTCTTTGGTCCACTCTGCTTATTAGAGAAGAGGGGGTATTCAGAGAGGTTCGAACAATTGAAGAGACTTCGTTGGCGATCTCATACAGGCGAAACTTTAGAAGGAGGTATGACATTTGTGATGGGCGGTTGAAGGTAATGGGCAGAATGTATTCATCGGCGATCAAGTCCGAGTCGTTTAGATCGGAAGGCATTTGAACACCTTCAGATGCAGTTGATGGGTCTGGTCCCAAACGACCCAAGGACATGGCTTGAATCATATATAGCATCATGATGCCAGCCCAGCAGCGGCGCCTCTCTTCACATCTGATAACATCAAGGCCGAACTCGCTTGGGTCGATGTGACAACCCAAGGAAAGGGCAATATGGTAGGCCATGCCGAGCAACGTCCAGGTTTGGCCATGGCTGTGATTGATACTGTAGATGAGAATGATCAGCGCCTGAAGCGTGGTTATATTCTACTGCCACAGGTAGTTATCTGCCTTCAAGCATTTGAAGGCTGCGCTACGATAACGTTCGGAGAGCTCGGCAATTTAGTCAGTGACAAGCTCCTTCCGTGAGAGATCATTGAGAAGCCCACTCGACGGACCCAAAGCCACGACAGATGTCCGGATAATGGCATTTAGAAGGGCTATCCATGATAGAGACATTGATTCCGGAGCCCTTTCGAAGACTTCATACTGCTTGTTGAAGGTGGGATCATGCAGAATATGGAACAACCGCGGTACCAAAGTCAATCTATGATTGCAGTGCTCGTGACACATTACGGCTTACAGAAGCAAATGAACTAGAAAATATATCTTTCAATCGGCTACAGTGATGTCGAGGTGGGAGATCATCAAGTAGTTGGTCTATCTCGATCTTTCTTTTGCCAAGAGGATATGGCCCAGCGCTCAAATCTACTGACCGGCGTAGAGCCTGGTGAGGATCGTAGGGAGAGTTCTCTCTGTCTTCTGAGGCTGCAGATGGTATGAAACGCACATGATCAGTCTCTTTCGTCAAGAGCATGCCCTTTGCTCTCCCTAAAGGCAGAATCGTATCTGCAGAAGACGAATGCGCATTTGCATCTTGCGCTTGTATGAGCGCTTCTAGGTTGGCTACACGTGCAGCCAGGTCTTCGTTCGATCGGATGGTTGCTGCCGTTGTTGGTGTCGACTGCTCAGACACTGGCGATGGCGGTGCGTTACGAAAGATGGGCATTGAAATGTGATGGGACTGGACATAGTGACAGTCTGATGCAAGCTGCCTGCGCACGCACGTTTCGCAGGGCGGAGGGCCCCGCAGTCGACTGCAGCGAATCTTTCGAATGCGACATAGCTCACAACTAATAGGGGAACGCTTCTGGCGTCGCTGAACGGACATGACTGTTTGATGAATGGATGGGCCATGGGTCCGCGGGACGCGGAGTTAGTAAGGTAAAGTACAGTTTCGAGGTTGAGCGGAGAAAGCGGAGAAAGCGGAGAACACACCAAAGCGAGCTGTCACCTTTTGGTCTTTCCACTCATTCAGATTTATCCGCTGTTGCTTTACGTCATCGACTGGCGTGTGACATGTGTTTCTCTGATTTCATCATCACATTGCACGCCGGTAGTGGCTAAGACCAAAGGCTTGGTGATCTAGTCTCCTTTTTTGGCTATCGATCATGTCCTTTTAACCAAAATACACAATTCGCCAGATGCGCAGCAAGATTGTTCTTCTTTTCTAACACAGTCCAGGTAGGTGCGTCCGTCTCAGTACACTTCATAATCTCTCCTTTCCTTTGCCAGTGAATGGTTGTTGCATGGCATCAGCATCATACCCAAAATTTGAGACACTCCATGTTGCCCTGGCTTGACCCTGGCGCTCTACCCCTTCTATGTTGTCTTCAGTGGGCAAGGGTCTATGCTGACCATCGTACCCAGAATCAGTGCGGCATCTTTTGGTAGATGGACCGGGCTCCCCGTCTCCAACCATTGATGAAAATGACTCGATATTATTTGTCCGCTGACTTGTTTGAGGAAATTCAATGTAAACGCCGGAACCCCTAGTGGCGTTTGATTTGTTGTATGAGGGCGTAGTATGAGGTATGGCGTCCTCCGACGAATGCGAAGAATCTGAATTTCTTCTAGGCAAACTTGTTTCATCATCATCTTGTTGACTTCCAAAGTTTGCCTGTCGATATATCTCATTCATCTCATTTGCAGCTTTCCTCTTGAGTAAATAGTCTCGTTGCTGGTTCATGACGTCAACAGGCGAGTACTGCTCTTCTTGTTCCAATTGTGCCAGCTGCATTTGGTGCCTGATCAGCTGCTGTTGCAGAGCTTGCTGTTGTAGGAACCTTTGTTGAAGCTGTCGCCGTTTCATCGAAGCATATTGTTCCGTCGTCTGGTTTATTAGCCTTGAATTGACAAAAGGATTATGCTGTCCTGGCTGCTGGTTCATCTGCCGGTAGGGTGGTGGGGGGCAGCTACGTCGTATCATATTACCCGTCATGGGTATGCCATCTCTGGCCATGATCTCAGTGTCCAAGGCGACAGGAGATCTTAGGATTTGAGTGGGCAACGGGTCTGGTGAGTGTGCGGGAATTGGCTCTTCCCAGACATGTGATGGATACGTGTCGCTTTCAAGGAATTTGGCAATGCGTGTTTCCATGGTACGTTTTTTCCGCTCTTGGTCATCCAAGTGTTTGGTCCAATAATCCAGGAGTTCTGCCCTGATGGCTCTGAACGCTATGACATCTTCTTGCTCACGTGCTACCCTAGCTCGGTGCAGGAATGTGTGCCTTCCGCTTTTCAAAGTTATATCAGGTACATGGTTAGCGAATTCAGTATAGAAGTTGCGAAACTCGGTAAACATCTTGCGGATGAGTGGCTCTTGTAAAACATTGGCAATGCCCTTGGAAGAGATCTGGCGCCTCCATTCAGCGGCATAGGCGTCAAATCCTGGTATGCCGGGTAACAATACTGGGTTGTCGGTGGGTAAAGATGGCACGGAGCACAGTTCATAGTAGGCGGGTAGTGCTGATTGTACACATCCGGTCCCAGGTGCAATGGGATACCGGCCAGTTGTGCGCTCGATGGGATACATTGAATTGCTGTTGGGCCTCCCAGTGAAGACGCCACCAAGAGTAGGTTGGCGCACATTTCGTAGTCGTTCAAACGGGCTGAAAAGTAGCTTTGAATTGGAGAGGGTTTGCTCTTCATGCCAACCAAAGTCGGCTAGGCAAAGTCGGACCTGGAGCTTGTAGAGATTCTTTGCCTTTGCCAGGATACCAGAGACAACTACAGAGATGTAATCTGGAGATGTAAGAAGCGGCACTGCAGCATGGAACAATGGACTGACCTCTGATGTCGTAAATCTCCACCTCTTCATCCCAGCGAGATCTCATAGTCATGTTGGCTGTGCTGGGTACATGTTGTGGGTTTGCGATAGGGCAATTCTCGAGTAATATGTCAACGGCGTAGTTTTTGGCGGAAGCCCAGTCAAAACATTTGAGGAATTTCCTCTTTGCATGGTCGGCCTCATCGAACAAGAAATGCGAAGAGCCGTCTGCTCGTTTGGGCTCGAGCAGGCGGCGTCCACACATGAATGTGCCGTCTTTGCGGATGTCGATTTTGAAAGTGACTGTGCTGAACAGGCGGTCTTTTACTTCGTCGTGGACTTGGCGTGAGACGCTGAGAAGGTCCAAGAGTCTCATTGGAAACTTTGACCTGAGCACGCGTGTTGCGCGCATGGGGCTCGGGTAACTCAGGACGGGTAAGCGACTTGCTCGTTGGTCAGGTTCCTGGCTGGAGCGGTCGTGGACAGCCGCAGTGGAAGAATCGATGGGCTCGGTGGGTATGAGATATCGGTATACTTCATGGCGAAGCTCGAGCGGTAACTGTTTTAGGAAATAACAGGGTGTGCTAGGATGGCCTTGATGATCGTTGCAAAGTTCAAAGTGCGGGGGGTTCCATCGGAACAGCCTTGCACACCTACGGCCATCCGAGCTGGTGAACTGACACCACCCGGCAAGACTTTGTTGATCGCGGTGGAGAGCGCATGTGGGAAGGTATGTAGGACGCGTGTCCTTTTGAGCCTTTTTGCCGATGCTGGCGCTGCAGCGCAAGTTTGTCTTTTTGCAATAGCCCGAGCATCGCTTCAAGTAGTTTTCTGGGTCTTGTGAGTTGAGGGGAGGGAGTGGAGGTTCCATGGGGGGTGGAGCGATGCCAATGCTGGGCAGATGTGGCTGGGCGCTATTTTGGGCTTTGGTAGTAGTAGTAGCAGCCATGGTCGCGGTAAAAGTCAAGGGTTGAATGCGGCACCAAATGAGAGCAGGTGGACGGGGCGCTTCGGGGGGTTTTTTTTTTCTTCTGCTTGGGCAAGATGGTAGTGATTCTCAGTGGTAGCCCAAGGAGCCCAAAGGGGCTGGGGGCTGGGATGGGAGGGCAGAGGGAGATGAAACAGGTGAGCAGGTCGAGGGCGAGCGGGCAGGCACAAGTAAATGGGCAAGAGGCGCTGTGTAGCCCAGCTCGAGCCCGTTTGGTTACACAGGCATGGGGGTGAGGCGAGAGAGATGTCCGACAGGAAAAGGAAGGAAGAGGAGCGAGGGGCGGGAGTTGAGTGAAGGGGTGCGGCGTGGTTGGAGGGTTGATGATGCAAATATATGTAGTAAGTAGTATGTCTTGTTCTTCGTTTTTGCACATTTGCTGCGTCGGCCGCACGAGTTGCAGCAGTGCAGTGCCCCACCACGCGCTACTCAACCTACCGGGCCACCACGACACATGGCTTACTTATTTTATTACCGTCATGGCTAGAGGGCGAGAGGCGCCGTGGGACGCAGGCCCGGCATTGCAATCCCCGAAATCCATCCATGAGTGGGCACGAGTACCTTTGTACACTACAATATACTACACTACATTACACGACTAAACCTGCACGCTGCCCGACTCTGTGCAGGCTAAACGGTGCCAGCATCCTTTACCCAATCAGTTCAGACGCATGGGAGGGGGCACTGGGGGCACTGGGGACACTGGGGGGGGGCACCGGGGGTGGAAAAGGACCCTCTGTGGGGAGCATCGCAGCACTAAACACCGCTCGGTAATCTGCTTTATCCTGGCTTGGGTAGGTGGCGCTATGCATGGCGTGAATCGAGCAGCCAACGCACTCGGAGTATTAAATAAATACCTAATAGTACGTCTAGGGAAAAGAATACTGCCGCCCATCCTGCTACCGCATACTCTTCGTAGCTCCGTCTCGGCCATACTCCAGGGATACACCACGCAGCAGCAGCAGCAGCAGCAGCAGCGGTGGCGGCGGCGGCGGCGGCGGCGACGAGGCTGAGCTGCAGACACGCGCCATCTCCCACACACGGTCCGTCCGTCAGCAGGCGTAGGCGTGCTTGGCTTTGTTTTGGCCTCTTTGGGCCAATTTGTCGGAGCTCACCTCTGCTCCCATCTGCAGACACGCAGCTGTGGACGATGCGATACCATGGCAGAAGAGGTTTGTACTCTACTCGCGTCCTGGACATGGTCCACTCTCCCTCCCCCCCCCATGAAGCTGGCTAACACCCACTCCCCAGACTAGCCCCTTCACCGCACAAGTACCCACTTCGTCCATCCGACACGCCCTCTATGGCTCCATCGATGTCGCCGCCTCTTCTCGCGACTCGGCCATCGAGGTCAGTCCGGCCAGCACTATGCAACATCCCTTTGCTCCTGGCCGACGCTACTACATCTATCCACCCTTCATCAAGGGCCATGGCCGTTTGATACCCGCTCGTCGGACAGTGCCCTATCTGGTTGGCCTGCTTCTTGTCATCGCAGTGTTTGCATGGGGCGTGTGTTCTGCTCTGTCGGTGAACCCGCTGCTGGGCCACCCACACCACCCGGGCCCGCGCCCGCAACGAGGCTAGAGGACAATAAAACGCGCTTGCTGCTGGTCACGTGTCGTTTTGAGCAACTAGGAAAACCACCTTGTACTACTACTACTACTACTACTATTTCTACTATTGCGAATAGCCTGCTTGAATCCAAATTGTCATGAGAATGTAGACCACATATATGTGTGGTTCGTCACCACCCGCGCCGCTGACGGCCATGGCACTGACACACTCGCCGGCTAGCTGTGCGGGGAAACATGCCTCGGTTCAACGCGCGCCCTTACAAACTCACCCTCATCCTACCATACTTTACTCCCGGCAATACTCCACCCCCCATGTAACCTCCGTCTAGCATTGCACAGGCCCGCCACCTGTCTCGCTTCTTCACCTCACCTCAAGTCGTCCACTAGCCTTTCCACCAACACCGCCAACATGTCGTCGGTCAAGCCCCAAACCACGCCGCCTTCGACCTCGCACGTCCTTCTATCCTATCCTGCCGACCATGTCCTCCTCGTCACCATCAATAGAGAAAAGCAGATGAATAGCATCCCATTCGAGGGACATCTCGAAATGGGCGAGGTCTTTGACTGGTTCGACCACGAGCCTAATCTGCGCGTCGCCATCGTTACTGGGGCCGGCACAAAGAGCTTCTGTGCGGGACAGGACCTGATACAGCTAGGAAAGATCCGGAGCGGACAGCTCAAAGCCACCCCAGGCCTCCTGAGACACCCTCTTAGTGGCTTCGGTGGGCTAAGTCGGCGCATGGGCAAGAAGCCCGTCATTGCAGCCGTCAATGGATTCGCGCTCGGAGGCGGCTTCGAGATTGTATTGGGCTGGTACGTTCCACATCTTTTTTTTTGGCACCGACATGTATTCCACACACAATCAGACATTAATTACTGTGCAGCGACTTGGTGGTAGCAGCACCACATGCCACATTTGGTCTCCCAGAAGCTCTCCGTGGCATTTTCGCTGGTGCAGGAGGCCCTCCACGACTCGTCCGTAATGTCGGCCTGCCTATCGCATCCGAAATGGCACTCACAGGAAAACCCATTACCGCGCAAAGGGCCAAAGAGCTCAACCTCGTCAACCGCATATCCCCCTCCAAAGAAACGGTTGTACAAGAGGCACTCAAGCTAGCAAGTGAGATTGCTGCAATCTCACCAGACTCGGCCATTGTCACCAGAGCAGCTTTGAGAGAGGCCTGGGAAACTGGGAGCGTGGAGCGAGCCACTCAACTGGTACTTGAACAATACAACCATGGACTCAACTCTGGCGAGAATGCTCTTGAAGGACTACGGGCTTTTGCCGAAAAGCGGAAACCAAATTGGCAACCTTCCAAGCTGTAGTAATCTGTTCATACAAAATTGTGTAGTTGTATAAATTAAGTAAAAAAAAAAAGGACAAAAGGCTTTCACGGCTTACTCAAAAATGGCACAGATGCTGTGATCTTCTTCTATGGAGACTACTTTACCAATTCATCCAGGAGACAATGGAATAGCACATCAGATTCTCGGTCGTCTATGAGTACCGTTCATTAACGTGCTGCGCCCATCTCCGTGTCAGCAATACACATATATGTACATATGACCGGCAAGCCCTGCACGACAACTGCACTATGCTCAAAATAACTGGAAGATCCACTTGCTAAAAGCAGGGCGACAATCATCCCCGCATCCAAACTGACGAATAGGGCTAATAGAGCACTTTGGGGAGTTACCAGGAGCATTTGAGTGCCTCGGCCGACCAAACTAGGGTCGGCTGCACCGGAGGTTGACTGCTAACAATTCAACCACTTGTGCATTTGCTCCATACTTTTGGACCCTTATCGCCGCTACGTGACGTGATTGAGACTACTACGTTATATTATCTCCATACTACAATACCACTGTCATGGTAGACCCTGAGCCAAAAGACGCTGCTCCAACCCAGATATATATTACACAGAAGCGAAAGAGGCCCGCATCTGAACATGAACGTCGAGAGAGAAAACGCGCCGTTGACCGCCAGGCTCAAAGGTCCCTTCGAGAGAAGACCAAGATACACATTGCTAAGCTTGAGCGCACAATAGAGATATTACAGAACAAGGATCGTAATGACAAAACAGTTACTCTATTGTCCGAAATTGATACCTTGCGAGCAGAGAATGAGCGGCTCAAGCACATCATTGAGAGCGTGAAGAGCGTTGTTGGCTTCAATGCGGTTTCGCAAGACATCCTACCAGCCAAACTTGGCCCTGTCACCGAACACGCAAACCATTTGCCAACGGCAAAAGCAGTCGGTATGCATGTCTCTATCCCTCACCTTTGAATGGTTCGATACGACCGCTCATACGACGTGGTAGGCCCCAATCTGCCTGAGCCACCTACTACTTCTATTGATCGTGACCCGCAACCGTCACCACTCCCTGATGTAAACCAGTCAACTTCTATCGACCGCACAAGCTCTGAAGATGAGCACAAGTCGTTTGACCAGCCGGAATCCCCTGACCAGCCAGACTTCTTTCAGCCATCACCTTCCGCCAATGACTCGACCATGATCAATCAATCCACAACGCCGGTAATCGATCTTGACGGCATGACCATAACACCAGATCCAGACGAGCCAGCCATCCCATATACCAATAGAGAGTTAACACACAGCCCAGGGCTCCGAGTTCCATCCAGGTTTTCGCCAGAGAAGCAGGCTGAGGAGATACTACAAGAGGTATCAGAATTAGCTCCATTCTCATCATTGATGCAAGAGGTACTGTTATTTTTCTCCACCCACATCAAACAACAAAAAACATGCAGTCTTTTTTTAAAAATCCGGTGATACATTGCTAACGTACAAAAATGACAGATATTGGGCGCAAAAGCAGTGTTATCCATCCCTAACCGTTGTCCATATCGACCGTCTTCTCCAAGCCTTACATTGTCCAGATAAAGAAAGACACGAACAAGATAGAATTTCGTCATCAAAGTCTTGAACTTGGCGCTTCTCTTGCAGTCTCCTACAACTGAATACATATATCATATGCAGAGAGGGCAGTACTTGCGTGAAGAAAAAAAAGAAAAAATAAATAAAACAAAGTCGATGAATGGACATTTTGGGTAACAAAAGCGGCAATGGACTCAAAAGCTTTCGCAAGGAAACGCTATTCACCTTGGTTTTCTTGGTGACCCGGGAAACTCATTACGCCGCGGATGAATGGGAGAAAAAGGTACGAAGAGAGAGAGAGAGAGAAAGAGAGAGTAACTGACAAGTATTTGAGCCAAAGTGGCCAAATTGACTAGTAGTAGTAGTAGTAGTACGGCGAGAAGACTTGGAAATCCATTTGGGAAATTACTATACTCAACAGATTCTGGTATTCTTTACCTTTTTAAGAATTCTTGACATACATACTACAATCGATCAACATTAGAATGATTCGAGTAACATGTAACAGTGGATCAAATCACACAAACATCATCACATTCAACATGCATAAAATACGCACACACACACACGCACCATAACAAGCAAGCATGAAGTTTTATCGTCATCATTCGTGCTATCCCAACACCCACACGGGTATCAACCGACACGAAATACTTTTTCCCCTCCCTTCTCTTTTGTACATCGCACCAAGGCAATGCTGGTAGTCGTGGCTTTTCATAACCCGAGTCATGATCATCCACGCCTGGCTTCCTTCCACTCCCTTTTCCTTTTCCTTTTCCTCCTTTTCCTCCCCCTACTTCCTCGTCATTCTTCATCTTCGTCTTCATCTTCTTGCGTCCTCTATTAATTTTTAATTTTTTTCTCTCAATGTCATTACAAGATGGCTTTCTTGAAATCATATCGTGTTGAACTATTTTTCCTCCCCGCGCGCATAACAAAGTTCCTCCTTGGTCTCAGGTTTCGATGCGCTGGTAGAACAAGATATACGCCACCTTGTTGTCGCGCACGTTTTCTTTAAGCAGCGGTGTCCTCTTGCCTGCGGAACTAGGTGTTGCTGCGCCGTTAACAATACCACTCCACTTCTTGTTGCCATCCTTCTGCTTCTCAGATCCATTCACCTGGTTCCATCCGCCTTTGTCAGGCTCCTCCTCGTCCATGTCGATCTGGGCAAAGAAGTTCTTGCTCTTCCCAGCGTCGGACTTGTGCTGCTCGAGGGCAGCAGCTAAGACCTTGGGGTCTTCTTCTGCGCCACCCTCGGCCACTTCCTCGGCGCGGATGCGACGGATGATGGTGTCATCCATGCGAATCCACTCCTTTCCTTCTTGGCGTCGAAGATCGACAGTGTAATGGCCGCCGCTAGCATTCTTACCATGGTGATAGACAACACCGGTAAGTCTGTACCGAGGGAAGCCGCCTTGGATCTGGTAGCTTCCTCGCTTGTGTGGCGGGAACACCTCCTTGGGTAACTCCAGCTCGAGCGGGTAGCCAATCTTCTTCCAAATCTTCTGGGGCCCTTTTTCATCGTAGTGGAAACGCTTCAGGTGAAGGATCAACACTGGCGGTAGCGACTCGATGTGTACTTGTTTCGTCGATGCTTTGGCACCGCGAGCGGCGCCGTCTAGTGTTTCTAGACGTGTAAGGTTTTTGAGAGCATCAGAAATGTTGTTAATGTTTGGTTCGCCAATGTCGAGTTGGAGCGGCTGGTAGGGCTCAAGCGTGACTGAAGCTTTCTCGCCCGGCCTCTTGTACTCAGAGCGAAGTTTGCCACCGAATATCTTGGTGATGGGGCTCTCAATGTCAATAGCCCCAGAATTTTGAGTGACGGCTGTCTTTTGCTTGTGGCCGACCTCCTCCCAGCCACCATCCACGGAGCCTGTTTGTTCACTGTTTTCTGATGTGACTGTGCCTGCAGGCTGACTCTGCTTTCCGCTCTTAATTATTTGGACACACTCGTCATGCAATCCAGCAAGTAGGAAACCCAAGAACTCTTCCGCGTCTTCCTGCTGGCCTCTCTTCATGTTATCGAAGCGGGGCAGACGCTTGATGACGTCGTATACATATTCCGGAGCCAAAGGATCGCCGTACTGCTCAATGTCGTTGCTTTTCAGTCGTAGACGTAGTTGTTCAACAGTAGCCGCAGAGTCAATGAGCTTGAAGTCTCGCAGGAACATAATCATAGCATCTATGAGAGGGGTCTCAGACTTGAAACTATGCACAGCACGTTTGGCGACTTGGTCGAGGAAATCGTAGAACGGGACGCAGAAAAGAAGGACTTGAAGAATCTACTCTCAGGTTAGGGCAGTTCATAGAATGGCAAGCAATCAAGACATACCGAGTTCATGTAACAAAGATTGCCCGAGTTGACGAGACCACGCGGTTCAATGAAAGAGACCTTCTTTTCCGAATCGACTGAGAAGGATGCCAAGACATCTGCGAGAGTGTTGCTTCTTTGCACAACAGGTCCATTGGTAACTGGCGCAGGGGTGGCGGCTGGTGGTGCAACAGGCTGGGCTGCTTTGGTAGCATTCTTTGCCCTCAACAACTCTGCCCACGATTTTGGCGCAGCTGGCTTGGGCTTTTCTTCAGCATTAGGCGCGGCTTCCTCAGTCGTCGTTGTTGTAGCATCGTCGATTTGCGACAACTCTGGTTGAGCCGCAGCTGGCGACTTGATGGACTGCTGCGTGGTAGAAGCTGCACTGGACGCCTTTGCGGGCTTGATCGGGACACGGGGTACGGCAGGTATGGTAGGGTTGCGGGCATGCTTTTTGGCAGCAGCCGTGACAGGGGCAGCCTGTTGTGAACCTAATGGCGTAGCAGTAGATGGGGTTGCAGACTGGGTTAGATCGACTTCTGAAGGTGGGTGTGAGGTGGAGGGGGTGTCGACTTCAGCATCAGATGGACCCGCAATTGTGGATGCCTGAGATTCTTCTGGTTCTTCCGTGGGAGTCCTGTCACCTTCTGTGTCTTCCTCAATCTCGTTCGAGGCATCCTCCTCGCTAGCCTGGTCGCGTGAGGGCAAAGCCAAAGATTGCTCCTCTGTGGATACCGGGGCCCTTCGCCGTCTCTTTCCGCGCGATGCGCGCACTGGAAAGTCTGAATCTGGCACAGAGAGCCAGGGCAGAGGCGGATAGAAGGGCTTAAACGTGATGGATTGTGGGGTGGACGGGGCTGGTGGCGTGGGCTTTGACTCAACAGCGGGCGGCGGGCTATCGACAGTGGGAGTTGGCTGGGGCGTCGAAGAAGACGGCATATATACGTGGGGCTGCACCGAGGGAGTCGAGGGAGCCTGCTGGGGGGTAGGAATGCGGGGGACAGGCGGGGTGCGTGAATGGACAATGGGAGGCGTCTGGCCCATGGCACGGTTGACTGGCGGGACCATGTGCAGATGTGACGAGACTACGACGGGCGAGGCATGCGGCTGAGGCTGGAACTGGCGCGGAGGCATGGCATATTGAGGCGGCGGCGGGGGTTGCTGGTAGGGGTACCATTGCTGCATAGGCTGCATGTGCTGGGGATAGCCATGAGGCGGGCCATACTGCTGAAGGTGGTGGTAGGGCGCGGCATAGGGGTTATGGTGGACGGGCGAGTGTGTCTGTGGGGGGATGTGGTGGTGGTAGTACTGCTGCTCGGCCTGCCTCCTCCCAGGCATATAAGGACCGGGCATCATGAGGGCTGGGCGCGGTGTTGCCTCGACAGTCGGCGCCGGCTAGGGAGCAAGCGGCCAACTTGTGAGGCAACGGGGCGGGAGATGTTGGCGGGGGCGAAGGCGATGGGGAAGCGGGAGCGGGTGCGGGCAAGGCGCGCAGGGTGGTGGAGGATATTTATTCGGATGCGGAGCGGCGTCGCGCGACTGGCGTAGGCGAAGGGTGCGGTGCGGATGGGTTCGTCGACGATCGCGGGGTCATCGTATCAGGACGACATGAGCGCAGCAGAGGCTGCCCGCGACAAAGAGGGAGAGAGGCTGGGATGGATGGAGAGAGCGGCGGCGGCGGCGTGGTGTTGGGCCTGGCGGCAATGGAAGAAGCTCGAACCGAGTCAAAGAGTCGCTCTGCAGAAGGGCGTTGCAGTCTGTGCGGAGGCCGGAGACCCTGGGCAGAGAGAGAGGGATGGTCGAGAGGAGAAGCACGCAGGCCAACAAGGCCAATGGCACCAGATGACGGCAGTTTTCAATCGAATGTGACAGGATACGTGCACCCCTAAATGTTGAGACAGACGCAGAGTGCCACGGGACGAAACAGTCAATGGCTGCCCGTCTGCTGCTGCAGCTCCACGATGCAAAGGTAAGTGGCCGGCTGATAACGTGACGGCCCCCGGCGTCATCAACCCAGGTTGTCGCCATCCGCCACTCCACCTTCTGCCTCTTGTCCCCGACCACGCACCCTCTTGGGGACCCCGACTTTTCGCAACCCATCCAGAAATATACATCCACCACCCGCTATCCCCACTATTCTCTCGTTCCCTCCCATCTTCGGTCCTTCATTTTTTCCCTGGTCCTTCATCAACGTCATCGTCGTCGTCTTGGTCGTCGTTGCTGGTGCTGGTGCTGTCGCGCTATCGTGAGCCCTTAGCTGGGAGTCATGTCTAGCAACCCTCCCGCCCCGTCCTCGTCCAAGGCCTCTGCATCCACTGGCCCTGTCTCTCCCGCCCAGAACCAGGCCCCCTCCATCAGCACCAGTAGCTTCTTTGCGCAGCCGCGGGGCAGCGGAACCTCGGCGCGATCCTCGCCCACGCCTCGCAACAGCCAGCAGCAGAAGAAGCAGCACAAGGGCTCCAAGCGCTTCCGCCAGACGGATGAGGATGCCATTGCTGAATCACTCGCCATGCGCCCCTTCAGCAACAGGAAGGGCCAGACGTCCATTACCCACCTCATGAACTTTAGCCTTCCCCCACGCCCGTCCAACCACAACCAGTCGCACGGCTATGGAAGGAACTATCGGCGCAATCCCACATGTGGCCTCGGGTCTGGCTACCATGCCGTCGACAAAGCCCGGTAAGTGCTCTTCTCATCCCCATCTGCCTCAGCTAACCCGCCCAAGATATGTGCACGCCAACTACCGCTTCATCGTCGATCCGCGCGGCGACTATCGCGCTCAGAGCGTTGATGCCGATATCCACCTGGACTGGAATAATGTCCTGCAAATATTGGCATCTGAAATCTCCCAGGAAGCGTCTTGTCCCATCTGCCTCGGGATGCCAGTAGCCCCGAGGATGGCCAGGTGCGGTCACATCTTCTGTCTCCCCTGTCTCATCCGCTACATGCACTCTGAAGACGACGGGAAAGCACCAGAGAAGAGGGCGCGATCTAAAAAATGCCCACTATGCTTCGACACCATCTATGCCTCGGAAACACGACCTGTCCGCTGGTACACTGGCCAAGAAAGCGAGGCTCCACGAGAGGGGGGCGACGTTGTCCTGCGCTTGGTGGTGAGATCAGCCGGAAGTACATTGGCTATGCCCCGCGACGGCGCCGATGCTCTGCCCAAGGACCAAGATATACCCTGGTACCATGCGGCAGAGGTAACAGACTACGCTCGTGTCATGCGAGGTGGAGAGGACTACATGCTCGAACAGCTGGATCAGGAGATTGTCAAACTCGAGCAGCAGGGCAAAGAGGACGAGGTCATGTTTGCCGAAGACAGCATGGAGTGGACAAAGAAGGCAATACGAAACATTCGAGAGCTCAAGGAGAAATTCAAGGGCATTGGAAACCCTCCTGAGGAGCCTGTCAAGCCTACAGAACCTAAGACAAAAAGAGCTCCAATCGTCTTTGATGACGAGGGAGCCGCACCAGACATGTATCATATCCAGAACGCTTCCAAGTCTGGCCAGGATTACACGCCACCGCAGCCCGCGCCCGAATCTTCGAGTACCAAAGATCGGGCCATGTCTGTTTCGTCACATTCGTCTGCTACCAGCCATAGCATGTCTTTGACTCTCGCTGAGCTGCGCAACCGACAACACCATGAGCACCACAAAACTCCCTCTGAGTATTTCTTCTATCAAGCGCTACTTCATTATTATCTGTCGCCATTAGATATTCGCATTTTAAAGGCTGCCTTTGGTAATTTTGCTTCTTTCCCGTCAACAATTCTGCCACGAGTGGAGCACGTCTCCACTGGTCATGTTGTAGACGATGAACTACGGAAACGTACAAAATATCTAGCACATTTGCCATATGGCTGCGAGGTTGGGTTCCTCGAGTGCGACTGGACGGATACTGTTGCCCCTGAGATTCTGGAACGATTCCGACCGGAAATCGAGAGGCGACGTAAGAAGCATACTGAGAAGGAGACAAAGGAGGAGAAGGCGCGGCAACGCGCAGAGAAGGCCGAGTATGCCGAGTTCACGTCAGCACGCAGAAGACGGCCAAGCATCACGGAGAGATTTTCTGCGGACGACTTTCAGCCTTTAGCATCTGGAAGTGCAACAGACGCACAGCCCACTGTAGACGGTGACCATACTTCGACATCACCGCCCTGGCCAGCACGACGTGGTGATGGCTTCGCTTCATTGGCCTCTCCTTCTACCAGTCCATCGGCTCCTCGAACCGTGTGGGGCACTGCAGTCGTTGCGGGGACATCTCCCGTGCTGGCCCCACACGACCACGCTGATGGTGACGATGGGTGGCTGCAAGGCTGGGAGAAGGATTTGCTTGGGGAGGAGGAGATGATTGCCCAGGCCCAGGCCATGTCGTTGGCTGAGGGCGAAGAAGTGCCCAAGAAGGGTGGTGGTAAGAAGAAGAAGGGCAAGAAGATTACACTTATGAGCACAAACGTAAGGAGGGGCGCATGAGATAGTTTATTTCGTCAGCATCACTGAGTAGCATGGCGCGAAAGGGAGCAATGAAAGTTTACTGCCAATTTTGGTACAACTCAAACTAATATCACCTACGACATGATGAATGCTCATACTCTACTTCTGTTCACGTAATCATACATGTTCACCATTAAATCAAGCAAGCACCGCAAGCAGCTGAACCTCCCATTTTGATGGGCGGTCTTGAATCCTTCACCTGTGCCACCCTTCGGCTGCCGCCACCGCTGCCACTTCCAGGCCCCGCATTCCCTCGGCCATGCATGCCGCCCTGGTAGCTTTGTCGCGATGGGGCCACGGGCGCAGGCCGATTATACGAGGTGCTACCCGGCGCGCGAAATGGCGATCCTCGTGCAGCAGCCCAGGTGTCGAAGGAGAAGAGGGTGGTAAAGTACAGGGCGAAGAAGACGATGAGCGTGTTGGTTGTGCGCGACAAGAAGGACCTAGATGGTTGGTTAGTAGAGCGGTGGCGCTATCAGAGGTTATAAGCGTACTTTGGGCTTTCCATATTCGCTAGAGGTGAGAGAGAGACGTAGTGTATATCTGTGTTGGTGTAATAGAGAGAGAGAGAAACAGTGGTAAGGTAAAGGCGACGTTCGTTGCCTAGAGCGGCAGGGTGCCTCAAGGTTGAACATGGGTGTGGCGGGTGGATCGGCGCGGATCGCGCTAATGCAGGACCGGACAGCTTCTTCTGTTTTTATTCTCCAACTTTTGACTTGCATATACCATTACACGCCCAGCAGAACGAGCATTACCTCAAAAACTATCACTAGTCAAACTTCTAGAGAAGTAAGTAGCAGAAACAGCAATCCATCAAGTAGCGCCAGTATGAGCAACGACCACGATATGATTGTGGTCGATAGCAAGTCGCGCTCGAAAAATGCAAAATCTAAGGAGAAAGAAAATGGAAAGGTATTGTAAAGGTTGCTTCGGTCTTCTTAAGTTGAGACTGACGTAATAGTAGAAGCGAAAGACGCCCGGTGATAAGGGCAGCCCTATGAAGAAAAGAAAGGGTGATGTCCAAGAACAGAGTGTTGAAGATATCGACACGTCAAGACCGACTGCCGTCTTCAATCCTACTAAAGGCCGCAACTGGACGGTGACAATTGCTCTTCCTGGAAGCTGGACTCTGAATGCAAAGAAGCCCGATCACAAAACCATTCAGGTTGGGCGCATTGCACGCGCAGCAGCCATCTACTGTGTCGACGAAATCGTGGTTTATGACGACGACCCAAGTAACATTGACCACAACGTCATCGATCAAAAGTATATTCGCAAAGGTCGCACGAAACAGCAGGTTCTAGATTCCATCTCCGAACAAGATGAAGCATGGCAGAATCCTGACCAGTTCCTGTACCATTTGTTGGCTTTTGCAGAATGCCCTCCACATCTGAGGTATGACCGCGAGGATCCGCGATTGAGCATCTTCAAGGAACATCAAAACCTCAAGTGGGTGGGTAATCTCCCCAGCATGGACATGCCCCATCATTTAAGAAGCCACGAGTGGTGTCAGTACCGTGAGGGTGTCTTTGTAGGCTCTGCACCGCCCCCAGGCGGCAGCAAGTCAAAGAAGGTAGCACGAGAAGACTACGCATACGTCAAGTGCGGTCTACCTTATCCAATTCGCGTACCCATACCCAAAGAGGCGCCCGTGGAGCAAGGAATGCGCACCACTGTAAGGTTTGCTAATCAAGAAGCGCCGAAGGGCTGGCCCAATCTCTCACAACAAGACTGTGACAGTCTAGAAGCCACAGCGTGTGCTGCCAGTCTACCACGTGAGGAAGGCGGATACTATTGGGGCTACAATGTTCGACGCGCTGCCTCGCTCGGCGCAGTCTTCTCCGAGTGCGAATACCCTGGTGGCTATGACATGTCCATTGGTACCTCCGAGCGCGGACAGTCGGTGTATTCGTTTCTCTCAACTGGTGGAGTTTCCCCGGGTGACATGTCCAGCTCCACAGTCTCTGGGGCTCCAGAATCCTTCAACCACCTACTCATCGTATTCGGCGGTCAAGCGGGCATAGAACCAGCAGTCGCCAGTGACCCGGAATTGACTAGTAAAGGGCTAGACAAATCTACAGCACACCAGCTGTTCGACGCGTGGGTAAACCTGGTGCCACGACAGGGCAGCAGGACCATCCGGACAGAGGAGGCTGTTATCATCGGGCTCGGTGCGCTCAAACCTTGGATTGACACTTTGTACGTATGAGTGGGTAGTGTAGAGAAAGGGGCCGATAAGACACGGCTTGCTTCGGGGTGCGAATACATCACTAGCACTGAATAGTCATTGGGAATTCAAATATGGAAAGAAATACGCAAATTCGGGTGCTGCGTTACATTGAATGATAAGATGCAGATGGTAAAAAAAAAACAAGAAGAACTCTGGTAATACTCAGCGAGTTACGCGCAACCCTAATCATGATACAGTATGTGATGGCAACTGATAAGGCAGAAACTGTCAATTAACTCAAGAGCCGCCATGAGCCAGACATGGCACGTCGTGATTTTAGAAGAAGGCAAGGGTCGGGCAGTCGTGTGCTGCCCATTTGCCTAGGAAGGGGTACACTACTGTATGTCAGACCAACCCCCAGTCTTTTCCAAATCCTTCGCATCCTACACAGCATCACTAGCATTGAGTGAATAATTCTGTCGTCTTCCTTTTTCTTATCGGGCGTCTATTAGCATGAACGATTTAGGCCTAGCAAGGAAACGGACACATGACGACATACAAGAAATTCCAAACCCGCTAATTTGAATACGAGGAGGCTCTTATTCACACCGACGCCTACTTTCGACGAAAAATACGCTAGTTGCGTACTTGGGCTAGTCAGGCGGGCGCACTGTTGTCGCGCCCAGTTTATCAACCTTAAGGCCGTAAGGGCTAACGCAGGTCCGGATAATAAGTCCAGTTCTATAGGCAGAATTACTGCCTAGGACACTAAGTACCACTTAGTAGCGGGACTTCCCACAGAAAGTAAGCACAAGGAAAAATGACGACGGTGCAAATGTCAAAGTCAAGCAACGACCTAGTCATGTCGTTGAAGTTTAAACCACTCACGCTGTCTGTTGCTCCGATTTCCCGCTGCATCTCGGTGGTATGATCTTGTTCTTGCCTTTTCTGGACTTTTACCCGTTTTGGCACCTGGTGTACGCGCAACAAGTGCAAAATAGCTGTGGTGATCGCAATTTGCCGCAGTTGCATGTACATGAAATGCGGTGGGTGGGGGTGGGGATTCCCGCAAACCTTCCAACGGGCACACTAGAACGCATGGCAACACCCGAGTTTAATGAGTGTGTGTGTGTGTGTACTTACCCACTATTCACGTAGGGCTTCTGCAGCGGCTCTCGAACATGCCGACCTGTGGTGCCAGGATCCCCTTCCTGATGGTCGTACCTGAAACTGGTGACAGCTATCCATAGCACAACCTGCCTACGCTATCCCATCGGCCCGTTTGGGTTGAGAACCTGCTGACTGCCCACTGCCATGATTTTGCGAAAGGGGAGGGGGGACAAGGGGGGGAACTGGTCGCGCGCTTTCTCTAACACACCATGGCGGAAGTCTGTTCTCCGCATAACACTCCGCCTTGCGTTCTCTACCCTTATCGTTATCTCCCGTCCACCGTTGGCCCGTGCTCATCCAATCACCGCTCATTTTAGCTGCAACGTGCTTTGTTGACTGTTTGCGCAATCAAAAAAGAAGCGCCGCCACGATTGATCGACCTAATGCGTGTCTGCGGCAACCCAACGCCTCGGGTCCGCTTTTTTTTAACAACACAGGTACCCGGGGTTCAGCCACCGCAACCATGTCCATCCGTCCACCCCCTACACCTATATCACGTACGTAATAATCCCGCTAGGCACTGAGGGGACATGGTTCTCCACAGCAAGGTGCACACGAAAACATGACCGTTTTTTTTGTTTCCTAGGCATCTTGGCCGACTGCCCGGCAACACCGTGAACTTACTACTTGCTGCTCAACCACGTGGCCGGAGTGACATATTCCGTGTAGATAACTCGGTTGGCCAAGCATGACACTGCAGCTGGGGAAATACGAGTCCTCAGACGGGGTAGGCCTTACTGTCATCGCCGTGCTCGGCCCCCCCAGGTCATGGTAGCCTGAGCGCCATCCTATCTCAACCGCTAGTGTCCGAGCAGCGCCTGTGTAAGTATCGTACGTTGGGTGATGTGTACGTGAAATTGAAGGAGGGGCGTGCAGGTAGTATGATCTGAAGGTTGGGGACTTGGTAGGGAAGATTGGCCGTTATACCGAGTCTCGAACAGGCTGCTGCTGACAGATTATGGCATTGACATTGGGGAGATAGAACTCCGAGGTTGTTGTTTGCTGAGGGTTTGATGGTTCATCGCACTCTTCACGCCATGTGTACAATTTCTCGAATACGACCAAGTACTAGAAGACCTCATAATTCATCGTGATAATGTGAAACCCTTGATAATAACAGTCGAGTTATAGTTGGCCATCCTTGGCTATAGATGCTCCGTTGTGTTTATCATAATTCCTTTCTCTATCATATGAGACTTTGAGTATAGTTGTTATTCTTCCAAGCGGGATACTATCCTAGATAAATGCTGAATCCCTATCTCGCTCTTGAAATCCTAGAGTAACCAACGTTGATTAGAGGTGTGCAAACTATTTTCCTATGGCAATACACGAATAAGTGCAAAAGTTAAATCCAAGTAGGCAAATGTAGGACTGGCACCTCAATGGCTCAGTGACTCAGTATAGTCTTTCTAAGAAAATTGCATATGATATCCAAAGAGTGGTCACCAAGGTTCAAGTAAAGTAAGGTATTGTGATAGTAAACTCCATTGATCCTAAAAATGGCTTCCCTTGATGCCACAAACTATATACATTCATAGACCCATACCGTATTTCGTAGAACAAAAGTCATTGATCCAGATAGTCCTCCGTTGTGAGTGTCGCAAGCTATGTATCGGCATAGACTCGACATTTAGAGGGTACCTCCTCCCTGGCACCTGGGCATAGGGAAGGTGTCCTGGAAGCATGCCGCAAAGTAACCATCGACCCAGGCCATGTCCTGGTACATCTTGGTCGTGAACGAGTCCGCCTGCCATGTCTTCACAGATCCTGTGTCTCCCATCTTGCCACTCCACACGCCACCGGTGATGCGCTTGGTGAGAGGTCGGTAGACCCAGGCACCGTACTTGCCCTCTGGCACATCGGTGAAGAAGGTTGCTGTTAGACTGTTGGTAGTCTGCCATGTTTGGGTGATAGACATTGATGTCTTGAGGAAATCTTCGATAAGGGTGACATCAATGCCCGCAGTAACTGCAATGCTGTTACTAATACTGTAGCCAGCCGCTACAGTGATCTTTGTGCCAATTCCACCCTTTACGATCTGGCTGACTTGGACATCCCAGCCAGTGAACGTGGTCGTCTTTCCAGGAAGAACGATGGAGACGTCACGTTTCGACAAAGGAGGCCTGGTCATATTCGCAAGCTCTTCGCCAGTGTAGGTGATGAGGTTGGGTTCGAACTGGTTTGGCGTTCCAACTGGAAAGTCCTTGATGGGGAATCGCTCTTCAAACTCTGAGCGCTTCATGACTTGGATGCGACCGTTGCCGTGGAGCACAATGTCGTCGGCTGCAACAGCAAAGGGGGCAGGATGAGCATCAGGGACTGCAGCAGGAGCGGCGGCTGCCAGTGTGGCGCCGGCTGCGAGGGTAAGGAGTTGAGTGAAATGCATTGTGAAGATTGATGGTCAATAGCCAATGTGTTGGCTTGTTGAAGAAGGATAGAGATGGAAAGTATGAGTGTTGATGCTCTATGGAAACTCTAGATTTGGGCCGGATGCTTCAAAACTTTATAGTATCATGAGCTCGAGATGGTTATCTTAGACGTGGAAAACTACAGGGAGCAGCATTCAATCCGGTTAACTCGTCTGAGCACTGATCTGCAAGGAAACCTGATTCGTGCAGGCAGACAGACCTCAGTATCCAACGCTGTCATTTCGTGATGGAGTTTGGTGACAGGGGTTACTGTGATGCAAGGACCAGGTCACTATGCGGAGCATGCTCGGTGAATTACCGTTTCGCCTTGCAGGAACAGCCTAGAGTTATCTAGGCAAACAATTTTCCCGAACACTGCCGATTGGATCCTCTTGCAAACACGAGCTTAACGTTCGGCCCGAAGCGCATGAAGTACGCTCGCGTGCCAGCCACTCCGTGCTCTGTGCATGAAAGGGCTACCAACTGTCATAGTTTCCTACTAAGAATACTGCTCTAGGACACCAGTTCGGAAAAACTTTGTCCTAATGGATGACCTTGATCGCTGTCCTTGGCAGTACCCCGGAAGGATTATCGTTGTAATGCCTCGCGGCCCTTTCAGGGGTGGTCATGTTGGTCACAATCATACCGAGATGGTCAGTGGGGAACTGAGGGTCGTGAATCATGTCTACACAGCGATAACAGCGGATAGAACCAGAGATCCATCATAGCAAGCGTTTCTACTTATTTACCATACGTCCGCCCTTTACTCGTGAGCATCACCAATCCCATACACACATAACTCTCTCATATATACTTCTATTCTCTACCCATCTCAGTTCTTCACAGGACAATCATCTCTTCAATTATTCCCAATCATGAAGTTCTCCATCACTCTGCCAGTCATCGCTGCCATCCTGAACGTTGCTTCAGCAGACCTCCACTACGGCGGTATCTGTGCCGACTGGATTAATGGCGCAGCAACCTACAACCAAGCCGCCACAGAAAAGGCCTGCGACTCGTACTTCAAGCGAAATAAGGGAAGCGAGCAGTGGAACACCTGCCCTGATTGCAAGATGGTAAGGAACAGAAACGCAAAGAGGACATGAGTTGTATAACTAACACACCATACAGGCAGACAAGGGTGGCATGTCCATCTGCATCTCCTATGACTGGCACATGGGCGGTGATGAGTGGGAATACTACTGCCAGTTGCACGGTGCCGGCGGCGCTATCGCTTCTTAAGTCAGTTAATCAGGGACGACTAAGGGATTGGATTGATTTCGCACAATCAGTATAACAGAGGGGGGGATCGAATTACTTGAGAAGAGTCAAAGATCGGTTAGGGATTTAGCTCATGATGTCCTTGTCAACCGACATAACGAACGAGGATGGTTGCTACCATCTATGAACCATCTATGACAGGTTTACTGCTAGTTGAGCATTGATAAGTTGTATATATGTACGCTTCGAATACCATCATTATTATACCCAAATAGCTCGTTGAGAAGCCATTACGAAGCTAAATATCGAACTGTGACGTTTTTATAAATAAGCCTGATAATCATTTCTCAATATACTAGTGGCTAGGAGGCATTGTGATTACTGGTGTTTTGAGCCACCCCCATTCTCTGGTGTCTTTTGATACGGAGAGTAAATGCATCATGAAAATCTCAAGACATACTATGAACAAGGTCTACCCTCGACAGCTTACGTTGTGCTAAACGACAGTTGGAGACTCAATGGCTAGTGAAAGATAGCGAGGGAAACAATAACCCTTTTCTACATACTGAGTACAATTGTAATGATTCCCTATCTTCGCGACATACCATTCTGAGACAAATGTACAAATACATGGTCCATGATCCATGAGATGATCGAGTAAACAGTTTTTCTTATCCATGCGAACGAAAAATTTAATTTCTTAAAACCCTTGTGGGTTACTACAATGAAATTGTCTCTTCGTTGAAGCCCCATAGTATAAGCACTGTATTTTAAAGACCTTGTTTCGAGCAATGGGATGATCCCGGCTTCATTGTGCTGCTCGGGTGCATGAGAAAACATTAGAGTACTACCTCCTTTTTGAGTTCCCCACTGTACCAGTAGAATAATTGTTCAATCTACTGTATAAAAGCATTGCGAGTAAATAGGGGGAAGAGATAATTATAGAACTCGTACGACAATCCAGGAACATGAAACATACTTGTGGAGAAACGTTGTGCATCACTTTCGTCATCACAATAACACCACCATCATCCCAGCGCGGTTCAATTGGCTCATGTAACTCACCTAACCGCCTCATTGCCTGGCCTCATTTCTATACTGGAATTGCTACTATGCATGTCCGGGTGATCATCACGTGATGTTGAGGATAACTAACGATGACGTAAGATATGCAAGGATGAAGGAAGGCAGCAAATAGAACAACAGAACCAGGTGAAACAGGCGCAAGCGCGCGTCTGGTTAGTTAGCGCCGGCTCGGCTCGGTTTGTACCCTAGGGAGGTGGTATCCTGATAGTAGTTAGGAATAACTCTAGGTATATTATACAATTAACATCGAGTAAACTATATACTAGTTGTGAGACGTTTTAGGGGTATTAGGCACGGGTAGAGTAAAACAATAGTACTCTTGAGTAAACGTTCTGTATTTCACGTAGACGAACAGCTACCGAGCTTAGGTAGTATTCTTCGTGCTTATATCTGCTTTGATAAGTCAGATATGACTAAGATAGGCTAACAAGGGCCAGATTGGCCCTAGATGGTGCAA